GAGCGAAAGTGATAATCAATAGTTTCAATTCCCCAAAGCACTGCAACCGGTGATGAATTAGATTTCCTCTGTAATCTCCATCAAGGGAATTCCGTTCATCCCCCGACCTATGAAGTTAAAAAAAAATCAAATAACTGTTTATATTATGGAGATGGCCTCATAAATGAGTTTGTTCCCCCAAGTTTTGGAGCAAGGTTAGCAAAGTCTGTCGGTACTACTTTTAAAGCGCCCTGAAATTGTTAGCCTGTGTGAGTCAAGGTACCACACTTCAAATCGATGAATATCTGTCACAAGTAAGAGGCATTCAGACGCCTTTCCATATGCGCTTCAACGCTTGCAGCAAGCGTTGCACAACCGTCAAATGCGCTCCCGGGGCGACTTTGACCGCCGAACGCAACGCGCACAGCGTTATTTTCATTAAGTCGATTTCTGTGTCCATAAAAGTGTAACGCATGACCGCATCGGGAACACCTCTCCTGTCCTCGTTCATAAACATTTTCGGATATCTTGTCACCACGTTTCCAAAATGTCCTTATTATGTGGAGAAAAAATTCAAATCCCAGCCCTGCTTGCCAGTTGATATGCGGTTTTGCGTCTTATTTCGGCACAAAAACAAAAAAGTATGTGGAATTTGTGTTTCCCCTATACGCAAAGAATATTGTGCTCTGTTGCCTTTAACGGCTACGCTGTCTTGATTTTGATCTAGACTGTCCTTTTTGTTTCGTGGGTAAAGATGCTGGCACACGGTATCTTAACCGCGATGGGTGACTTTGAGTTGCCTTCTGATTGGGCGTTTCTTTCAACAACTGTAACGTTGGGGGTCAGTTTCTTTCGCGCAAATGCCGTTAGAGTCCCTAGGCATTAACTCAGCAGGACCTTTACAAACAAATTTGGGAGTTTGCATCTTTTCTTCCTGTTTATATCACTGACAAACTATTTTTTCCACCCATTCTAGTTTGATTCCTTTTTTATCTCTGTTTATCATTTGCTCTGGAGAAGGGTTCTGCTTAGATTGAAACGTTTTCAGAAATATATTTCACACAGTTCACTCCAAAGTTTAGATGGCGTTTGTCAATGCAGATCTGTTGTCTAAAAGTACGGTATGGTCAGAACTTACGGTACTTCTACACAATTTGGCTGAGGTCTTGTCACTCATGCCGCAGCTGGAATTCAAAGTTTTTGAATGGTCTTTTGCCGTTGCCGTTTTTAACCTGTGAGATCGAGATGGTGCTTCTAATTTACTGCAGCTGAACTACCCTGAGAAATTTTACGACACCAAACCATAGGAAATGAGAGCTCGACAGAGCTCCGGAAAAATGTGACTAGTTAACTAGCGACTCATTAATTGCCTTGCCTTTCCTTCCTTCGTAGTTCGACGGAATTCACACCCAGTATTATGATTGAATTTGGCTTACTGTCCATCAGTTTATGTGGCCCCCTATTTAAGGTCTTGGGGAAATTAACTGTATACCATTAGTCTTTATGTTTAGCCTCATACAGTAGTAGTCTAGGTGCCATACCCAATGATTCCGAGTATTTTCGTCGAATCAAGGGTCTGGTATCACCCGGTTTCTACGTGATCAAAACCAGAGGAATTCCCGTGTCCGTGAATAGCCGAAATATTCCGAACTCTTCCCATCCTCAGTCGGATAGCATCGTTGATGTTCGTATTTCCAGCCGTGTCTATACGCATAATGAGGTATACGTTTTAGTTGCTTGTTTCCCACAATCATTTTGCTCTCTTCCTGTGCAGGTATTCCCCGTTATTACACACATTAGCCCAAAGGGCCTCAATTGATAGTGTTAGTCGTTGATAAAAGGGTGTGCGACGAAAAGGCTGTCCCTGTCGGAGAAATTCTTCATGTACTTTTACTTTAGATGTTCCTGATGTTTGGTTGAGCCAACATCATGTTGATAACGTCCTTCTTAATTAAAGTCTTTTCGAAAGGAAAAACAAGTTGCCTGCGTCTTTTCCATTACATTTCCCTTAAAAGACGTAGCGGAGCCCTCCACGACGTCCGTACACTATTCATTTACGTTTCACGGCGCATTCTCCATGGCCGTCTTAATATGACAGAAAACACAAGTGTTGCCTGGAACAGTTGCTCTGAACAGTGGTTTGTCTTCTATCGGCATGGACATTTGCAAGCGACCATCGATACCGTTACCATGGTCACCGGATTAGTCTGCAGGAGCAGTAAGAGACTGTTGGAAATGTAGATACCTTTCCCGTCGAGAAACTCTGTTAGATCTGGGCCGAAGTTTTGGAAGGGACAAATATTTCTTAATGCTTGTGATCCGTATTCCAACTTCAAAACGGATATCGTTTTACGGATAAGGCACATTGAAAGTTGAAACATAATTGTGGAAAAAATAAAAGTGGTACAACCTAGGCCTAAATATTCTGGCTTCCTCGGTCTAAAAGGTCACTTACACTGAAACACATCTCACGGCTTTTAACGTCAGAAGATCCAGGTCCTGAGACGATTCTCAACTCGAGGTTGTTGCAAATGAATTTTCTCCGGCATCCCGCTCTATCGTCACTCAGAATTCCATTGACCCGATGAAGAGATCCGCTGCACAGGGGCGAGAAAGTTGTTACATTTGGATTGGGGTGATTGAAATGCGTGGAGACAGAGAGAGAGGGTCCTCGACTATACTGTCCCCAGGACTGTGTGCCCGCCATGTTGAACTCTCCATCAAACCTATACAGGCATCACATAGTTGCTTCTCCGAGTCCAGTCGACAGCAGTCAAGTTTGCTGCACGAAGTCATTGCTGAATCAAGTCATTCCTGTCAAATGTTGATAATTCAAAGTCAAGCACGAAACGAATTGCTTTTAGTGTTATCATGCAAATTTGGTTCTTCAGGCGTGGTTTATTCTGCTGGACAACAGGGAGATTCACAAAAATTGCCAGATATCTTGTGACCATTTTTTGTAATATGTCCTTATTCTTTTGCAAAATGGTCAGTTAACCTCAACTCTGGTTGCCATGTCCCTATTCTTTGTCCCATTTACACACTGAACAAATGGAATCAAGACCAAAATAAAGAAAAGAAAAAAAAAACAGAAGCACCCACGAAACAAAAACAGGGAGAGTCACAACTTAGATTTCCCAATTTTGAAAACCTGTGCCCTCTTAATATTTTAGGACTCGAGTGTGCAGTGAGGCATCCCTTGGTACTCCCAAACCATCATCATCAGCGTGTCATGAGTTTAGACGGTAAAGAATGGGAAAAAAGGGAAAGTGGACCCTCTAAAAAGAATCTTCAGATTATAATCAAAGGAATGCATGCATAGTACATGGGTAACGCCAGGTTGAAATTACATGCGAGTTTGTGTCTGGTTTCGGCGAGAAATAGACACGTACGTGTTGAAACTTAGGTCACGTTGGTGAAAAATATCATGCTTTGTTTCCTCCACAGCCCCGTTGTCGTGATTTCGATCGATCCAGACTGTCCTTGCTGTTCACATGGGTAATCAAACTGGCACGCAGTATCTTTGATATCAACCTATCTTGACCACGAGAACAGAATCTAGCGCTACGCGTAGTTCGTCGGTGCATTTGACGTGGTTGTCTAACTGCGCATGTTCTTTGTCCAAGTTTTTTTTATAAATTCCAGACCAGATAGTTCCAGTTGCACATAAAATGTATGCAAAGCTACCGCACATTGGCCAATCTGTCTCGATCTTGGAAATCAAAATATTATCATTTCATTACGTGCTCGAGAATTTCAGTCCATTATGTAGACGAACGCAGCTACATACTAAGTACACTGACGTTTTTTCAACAGCCCTGCACAGAATCCCATTTGAAAACAAGACACAAGGCAATGAAACCGTAATCTTATGCTTGCCACCCTTGCAACAGAGACATTAACTATGCTGTTGCCAACCAATAGTTAATTTGTCCTGGTATTAACCTGAAAACGCCAAGGCAACTGCAAAGTTTAAGAACTGCAAAATCGTTACAGTTTGGCAAATTTACCAAACTTTATTCTAAATCAGAAAATACGGTATATACGAAGCTTATAAACAGTCCTACGAATAACATTCCAGTACTCAACAACATGCAACTATTTTGTTTAACAGCGTTCCCGGAGAGACGTAAATGAATACGTCCTGTTGTATGACGGATTATCTTGAGAGAACCGACTTTTTAATTTCTGTACCTACGCATGGACGGACGGTTCACATGAAATATGTAATGGTAGTTAATACTGAGTATGAAATCGTTCTGTGTAAATCTCTGCTAATGTCATACAGTGCAATATCATTCAATTTGGCAGCGGACTGTGGGACTGATTGTCAAACCTCTTCAGTATTTTTGATAATTAGACTTTGATTGAGTGGCCTTCCAATTGGACGTTTCATTCTGACAACCTAATAACGACGCGACCCATTGAGGGTACATTTCTTTGGAGAAAATGCAATTTGACTTCCTCAGCATTAACTCAGCAGGGCCATTAAAGGCAGTTCCTGTTGAAAAATGCTTCTTTTTCCTCCTTTGGTGTCATCACTGAGAAGCTAATTCATCAATCCATGCGTGGTTTATTCCTTGCTTGTCTCTGTTTGATTTGTCATTATGCCCTTGAAAGGATTCTGCTTAGTTTGAAACTTTTTCGAAAAGATGTTTCTCACAGTTCTTTCGAAAGTTTATTTGATAATTCTTCTACACTGCAAACTAGACGACTGCGTTCAAACATGCAGCTGAACTTCAACCAGATATTTGGCATATCACGCTATTATTTTGTACTTCTTGTTGCAAATCTTCCAAAATGCAAAGGTAGAAAATTATGGTGCTTTAATTGAGAGTACCTGCCTAGCCCATGGGCGGAAAAAACCTCCAGTTCAGTATGAACGTAGGCCGGAGACTAATGATGTAGTTTGATCGATCAGTGCTGATCCCTCACGTATATCTGTTGTTATTTATCATCATATCTTGTGGTATTTCCACACAATTTAGTTTAGATTATGTCGTCCACGCCAAGATTGGCGTTCACGGTCTTTGACTGTTTTCTGCTGCGTACCCGTGATCAACATGCGAGCTGACGGGGGTGCGGCTAGTGTACTGATGGCTTGAGCTACCCTTGGGGATTTTACACCTTATCATGTACCGAAACGCCTCTTTGAAGTCCGGGTGCGAAGTTGCGTAAATGATGGGGTTGACACAGCTGTTGCAGAACAGAAAGGCCCCGGCCCAGGGAAGGAGGCGGTAGGTCCAATCTGTTGTGACTACGATTGCTGTGAAGTAGGGCGTGAGACAGAGGACGAAGGCCAGGACGATGTAGAGGAGGTTCTTGGTGACGTCAAGTTGCCTCTTCCACAGCTTCTTCCTCATGGCGCGGCTGGCTACTCCCCCGCTGACTTTACCCGAGACGGACGGGGCATCTGCTCGGGCCATCTTCTGCGACGTCTTCTGGACATAGCAGAAGATTGAAATGTAGCTGAACACAATGGCCATCATCTGAAACGGGTAGTTGACTGCCATGACTAATATGTTGTAGTAGCTTGAATACAGATTTGATCTGACCCAGGTACAAGATTTGTACAGCTTTTCGTAGCCAAGTTCACCGACGTCAGTGAGGACTGGTGTCAAGGCGCAACAGAGCGGTACAGCCCACGAGAAGATAACCATCAGGGCGAGCTTACGAGCGGTGTAGATACGGCGGATGGTGAAACGAGACTTGGTGATACCCACCCAGCGGTTGATGGCGATCAGGGCCAAGCTGTTGATGCTGCAGCCGTAGGTGACTACGATGACAAACCCTGCCATGGCACACACCCATTGGGCGTCCGGTATCGGCCAGCCGTCGCTGCCCAGGATCGCCACCACCTGCCAGGGTAGAAAAAGGCAAGTCAGCATATCAGCGGCTGCTAGGTTGACCACAAAGACGTTGGTAGTTGTCCGAAGTTTTCTGGATAGGGCAACAGCCGCAAGGACAAAGCAGTTCCCGAGGCTTCCTACCACTGTAGCAGTGACAAGCATGGCCGATATGATCTGTCTCTCAAAGAAATATCGAAACACTATAATTCCATCCTCGGAGTTGATTTCATAAGAGTCTGACGAGTTTTTCTCACCTGACACAAATGGGGAATTGGTCGAACTTTCCATTGTTTATCTGTGTTCTCTTGGTATTGGTGGCCAATACAAGATTGTGCTCGGATTTTCGCACGAAAAACTGTCAAAACTGTCCAATTCCAAGAACGGTTGGAAAAGCACCCGAAAAGGTATTTACTGTAGAAACTAATCGATTGTTCTCGAGAAAACGGGTACTTCCTTGCATCTGTTAGTTTGGTACTTATCGATAAATGATCAGATTTCCAAATTCAAACGGGTAGCGTTTCCGATGGTTACTTCAGTGACCCTTTCGAGAAGTGTCGGGGCCACGAACGGCTTTCTGCTCGGCTGTGTTGTCTTGTTGTGTCGCTCGTTGCTTGTTGTCGCTTGAGGACTCATTACCACTGATTTAAACGTTTGGGCTGCCATACGTCTGTATGCTTATTTGTATGAAGCCCCGAACATTGGGAAGGTTATTTAGTAACAATTTAAATCATGAGGAGGGACTTTGACGACAAGGAGCTACCAACACCTCGCCGTTTTGACACGTCGATGCAGGTCTTCGTGCAACTTATGAGGAAAACCTGTTATCGAAGATGATCTCTGACTCAGCAAATGCTCTGTGTTGAGTAAACGCAATATGCGCGCAAACATTCCCCGAGCTTGTTGTGACGCAGACAGCAGTAAAAAAAGGCACCTCTGGATATGGCTGTTTGGTAACCGTCGCTTAACAGATGCCCGGGATATTAAACATTGCTCTGCGCATGCACTTTGGGTTGCCACAGAGCAGGAACAATGAGCATACAGCAAACGACTTCACGTGACCTTTCTCCGCGTTATAAGAGCAAAAGAGCTGGCAAAATTCCCCGCCAGTGCTGCTGCTGTGCCAGTTATTTGTTTCCGAAAACGGCTGCTAGCTTGAAACACGTGCCAATCGATACGATTTGGGAAGGTACCTATTCTGTACAGAAACAGAAGGATCGGAAAAGGATAGGAAAAAACCTCGAAGAACATCTTCTCAGAAAATGCTCACCCTGTGCGGAGTATACAGAACGCACTTAATTTGCAAAAACAAAAAACAAAAACAAAAACCTTTTACGTCGTGCAGATTTAATTTTTCACGAATTTGAATAAACACAATTTTTCCAATACTTTCATTATAGTTATAAACATAACCAGGAATTTGTTGCAGTATATTTGGGAAGCAGAGAGGTCATACCAAAGAGTAACCAGGCAATGCGAAAGAGTAATGAGACTTTACACGGGAATCTGTCATAATTTTGTCTTGCTCCGATTTTTTTCTTTCTCGACGCTGCACACAAAAGAGAAGCATTGTGCAGGTAACAATGTTACGTATGGTGGCGAGTATAATTTGAATAACAACGTTGGACCTCCCAAACTGTCCCTGATGTAACGATGGAGAGGCGAGCAAAAGTGATAATCAATAGTGTCAATCCTTAAATGCACTATACAGCCGGTGATAAATCAGATTTCCTCTTCAATTTTCCTTCAAGGGAATTCCGTTCCTCTCCCCAAAGTACAGAAAATCATCCAATAATTTTTTGAATTATAGAGTATGGCCTCATCAACGAGTATTGTCCCCACATTTTGAGCGAGGTTGACAAAGTCGGTCGATAGTGTTTTTAAGGTACCTTGAAATCGATAGGCTTTGGGATTTGAGGTACCAAACCAAACATTGACAAAGAAAATCTGAGATATTTTGCCAAGCGGCTTGCTTTGAGTAAGCTATTATAGTATGTAATATTTCATTAAGTATATTCATACATGGCACATCACCAGCCTACATCAGGAGTGCACTACTAAAGGACCAAACTGGATCTTAGTTTTTAACACTGAAAACAGAGAGGTAAAGAACATCAAACGTCATGTGTCGTTTAAAAGGTGCTGGCGCGTATCGCATTTTCAATTACGTGTGACGCTCACCAATTATTTCTATTTGACACGTTGATGAGGTCTTGTGTGCCATTTTTAGTTGGGTGCAATCGGACACGGACACGCGTTGACACTGGGCCTTGCATTATCAAGCTGACGGAAAGTAGAAATGTATAAAAAAAATGAAGCAACTGAACGCCACTATCAGATTGGTTTAAAATACCGAGAAAAAAAGATTCAAAGGGAAAAATGGATTGAAATGCATGACGAGAAATTCGACCACACAAAACACCAAAAGATTTTGAAACTACTCTCTAAATTCCAAAGAGTGAAAATTCACTCTATTCGAGTGAAAATTCAATCCCTCCGATTGAAATTAAGGACCAGGCGAATTGGACTGAAATTTCTTCACTCCAGAAGATGGAAATTTCACTCGAGCTTCCACTGGAAGGGGCTATTTTCAGCCTTTTTCGGTCTAAATTCAGAGTGATTTTCACTCTAAAACGTCTTGTCCCTAATTTCAACCTTTCCGATTTAGAGAGTAGCGCAGCAGTGTCAGAGACAGTTGTCTTCCTCTCGAGTTCAAGTGACTTTTTGCTCTTTCACGTACGTATACTGTTATCTCTGCATTGTCTCATCATTTTACCTCACCGCTGTAATAAGATAATAACCAATGCATGGCTTTATCTCGATTGTTGTTACATTTCATTGGAATTCTCAAGGGTTCGTCGTCCACTTCAAATTCTTCGTAATAGTATTAAAAGCTACAACGCATCAAATTAATGCACGCAGAACAATATCGAGAAGGCCGACAATGCATAAAAAGTTAGCCATTAAAGGCCAACCACCTAATACCAATGCAAGGGAATAACGCTGTGGGATTCATTCTTGTTCATGTAATTGGATGCAGTTTATTATGCTGTCTTTTACAGTAGCTTATTGCCAGATTCAGCAGCAGTTCTGCGTTTATTATGCTGTCTTTTACAGCAGTTTATTATGCTGTCTTTTACAGTAGCTTATTGCCAGATTCAGCAGCAGTTCTGCGAAGGCCCGTTTCATTTGATACGTTTACAGTAGCGTGTGTATTGGTAACATCATGCTTTGTATGTACGCTTTTTTTTTTACTGCTGAGCTTGATTTCAAATCTGTCGTCTGCATCTTTATCTCGTAAGAAAATAAAGAGTGGCGTCGTCAGTGCGTATAGGCCCATTAAAAAGACATTGTTATACCATTTTGAACTTATTAATATTTGCAAGAACACTACTCTCGTATTGCCTACTATTTGTATTGGCCACCTTTGATTAGTGTCAGACTTTGCCTTAAATGTACTATTGTGCGATTACTTTCAGAGAGCGGGGTGTGTTCGGATCTTATTTTAATAGCCGTGCATGTACGTATTCATTTGATATTTCCCTAGCTGCTTGAAACATTTGGACACCTTGTAAGTTACTCTTTGGTTTGTGCACTGCCAGTCAACCATGGTATCCAGGTACTGGTAGGCCAAAACTTGAATTGTGAGGGAGAGAGATCTGCAGAGCAACGAAAAAACTTCTTATAATTTTCCTGGCCTTTGGATCTTTTCTTATTACCGTTACCCTTGGTATGTAGTTCCACGGAACTCACATCCCGGGGACAAAGTATTTCAACTATGATTGGCTTGCTTTAATGTACAGCAGCTTATGTCGCGCCCTGCGTAATGCCCCACGGAAATTAAATGCATACTTTTAGTCCTTCGGCCTCAAACAGTAGCTCTGTTGGTTCCACTTGCAAGTCTAAAGTCTATCAGTATTGGAGTCGACGGTCAATGGTTTGATTGTAATCAGCAGTGTGGCATATTGATATTTACTTTTGTCGTGAACGTTTAGCTCTAAGAGTCCAAATATAAATTGTTAGTTGTTTATTAAGGAATGTGCGACAAAAAGACCGACCCATCAGGAAAAATTCCTCCCGTATTTTTACTGTTGAGATAACTGATATTTGGTTAAGCCAACATATGGTTAGAAACAAACCTTCTAAGCCTTTTCAAAAAGAAACACGTATTACCTGCCTCTTTTATGTAGAATGGTTAGCACAATGTCCATTGGCATGGACCGTTATAAACGACGAGTGAAAGCGTCACCATGGTCACCGGATTCGTCTGTATGCGAAGACTGTTGGAAAAGTAGGCACTTTTCGCGTCGAGATACCATGTTAGGCTTATCTCATTTTAATTGGCCGATGTATTGGCAGAAGACAGCTACTACTTGATGTCTGTGATCTGCATTGGGAATTGCATCAGCTTCAAGAGCAATGTGTTTCTGATCGAGCCAGACCATCTTCGCCGTTTACTTGGGTAATCATGCTGACACACAATATATTAGATATCTACCCATCTTGACCTGGAAAACAGAAGCTTGAAGGGGGCGCACGTGCGCTTAACAATGAGAAATCTCACTCTGCGTTCTTTTGCAAGCTCGGCCTGGCAAACTGCATGTAAAAACAGATTATTGTGCTAACCGAGGGCGCCCTGCCCAAGACCTCGTAGGAACTTAGAGCGGCGTGTAGTTCGCTGCCACATATGACACGATTGTCCCACTGCGTATGCTCTGTGTCCAAGGTTTTTGAAAATCGCTGACCAATTCCTTCCAGCTGCACACCTAAATTGTTCAGAGCTACTGGACAGTGGCCAATCGGTTGTGATCTACGGAGTTAAAGATATTATCAGTGCAATACGTGCCTCAACGGGATTCAGGCTTTTACAGAGAAATGCCCCTCATCGGAACGGGGCCGAAATATATCATGGTATTGACACCAGAACTGCGTATTAACCGATTCAGTGTCATTATGTGGGACCGTGGGAACAAAAGAAAGAAAAAAGCAGTGTTCTTGGGTGGTGTTGTGAAGAAAAACACTGAGAGTGTTCTTGGTCCTAATCCCAAAGGGTATTTTTTTCCTTTCATTCTTTCTTTTTCTTTTCCCCCTTTTTTGGGGGGGGGGTTCAGATTAACATCAGTTTTGACAGATTTGTATCTTTACTGCCAAAGTTTGTCATGTTGGAGTTACTTAAGCAGAAAAGCTCACTTAAACGTAATCAGGTAATACCCATAATATATTTCGGCCCAGTTCCAAACTAGAATTTCTCTTTAATGTTTCGTTTGGTAGGCCTAACGGTGGTGGGCACAATCTCATGTAGTCTTTTCAGGTTCCAGATATGGGCAAACAGCCACGGGTTGAGGCGATTGTGAAACCTTTTTCAAACGCAATGTACAGAATTCCGCGTAAAAAAGAGACAAGGCAGCGACACCGTGATCTTACGTGATACCCAGGTATTTGGACCCGCGATAGGAATATGTCAGCAGCAATCGAGGATACCCTATCTTCCACAGCGCCGGCGTTTACGGCCAAGTTCAACCAACCACACTGTCGATTTATCTTAGTATAAACCCCCGCAAACAATAATATCCAGGGCACCTGTAAGTCGACCAGCGGTAGACTTAAGGTCGCTAGTGACTGAATTTGGCCTGTCCTCCACCTGAATTTGGCCTGTTGATTTTACCATGTAGCCACAGGACATTTATCATATCTTGAGGTCCCGTATGTTTGCCACTTTCAAAGTTAATTTCGTGGAGGTGAGGATCCTAGTGGGCAATCGATTTCAGTAATAAATAGTGACAAGTGCCATTTAGCAAGCCCCTTCGTAATCTAGTTTTATTAACGGTGGCCATGGTAACTCGCATATTAATGAACACAGTGTATTCTGTAATGACTAGATCTATTTGTTTATTGAGAAATGAAAAGTATCCGTAAATTTGAACGAGAAATGGATAACATTTTAGAGTGTATTGTAACGTCTTGTAAGTTTCACTGACCTAAATCACAGTTGCTAATTGATAAACATCAGTCTTCTCAGGTGCATTGGTTTACAAGGTCGTGTAAATTTAGCTGGGTCCGCGTGAGACAGTTTCATTTGTTAATTGCAGTATTGGAGTCGGGAATTCAGTCACAGACAAGACGACACGCTAAAGTGAGAAATCGTGTAATGTTATTTGATGTGATGGAAACTGAAACAAAACTATACTGTCAATGAGGGCTAAGTTATTAAGTATTGTGGAATAACCACGTAAATCAGTGTGCGTAGCTTTGGGAAGATGATATGAGACAGGAAAAACGCTGTAGTACATGAAAACCACTCATTTTCTGAATGTTTCCCTAACAGTTTGACGAGGACTGACCAGGAGGCGAAAAAAATAGAATGGAGAAGCGCAGTGTCAATACAAAATGCCCGCCGTTGACTGGTTTGACCTATTTGCGGTGCTTGGTTTCGTTTCAACATCGTACTGTTAACTGCTTTGAAAATGGACCTACGCCCGCGAGTGCCGTTGCCGGTCGCCGTCGCACTCCAATGAATGACGTCCAAAATTAACGAGGAAAGGTTCTCGTAGCAAGTTCATTCAGCAGCGGGGTAAATTGTCGTATTTGTTTTTATAAGGCTGCCTTCCCACTTTTTCGTAATAACCATGCGCATGCGCAATCAGAGAACCAGACCTCATTAGTTTTGGATCATTGGTCAATTTCAGCAAGACCGTCGGGATCTGAGTAAAGCTTGCAATTACAAGACCTATTTACGGGCCGCGTATCCCTGGTAATCGCTGACGACGGAGCGCGCTTACCCAACAAATGACTCGCCGAGGTAGCTGCCGAGGGCACGCTGAGGATGATTTTCAGGGACAGACGTCTTTCATCAACAAACTCGAGTTAGTTACAGGCTGTTTCATCGGGCAGTAACTCGCTCCGTTCGCGGATTTAAAGCGTACCAGCCGTTAATTCATTTTCTAGCTGCTAGCAATTCATATCGGGAAAATATCGCTGAACAGGAGACAGTGAAGAAGCTGAAAAGATAAATCGCACTGCACATGTTTGTTTATTTCAGTCAGGGAGAAATCCACAATTTATTCCGAAAAGAAGACATTTAAAGTGCTGGTTTCGAACGACTAATGCGCGAAACCCACATCGCCACTGCTCTAGAACTTCTCTGCTGTTAAAATCATCTGAGATCACCTAAGCTCAAAGTATGTCTTCAAGCCCTGAGCAACAGAGTTTGGACAGTCACAATGCGACTGATTTTGATGCAGATATTGTGGTGTACAAATATCATTACGAGGTGCACATTATAGCTGCTGTGCTCATCAGCGGAGCCATCTTGGGTTCGATCGGTAACTGCTTCGTTATCATTGCAGTCGCCTTATCTAAGAAACTCCAGACAGCCACCAACGTCTTTGTGGTCAACCTCGCTGTGGCAGACGTCACAACTTGTCTCTTCACACCCTGGCAAGCCGTGGCGATCCTCGGTGGGGATGAATGGCCCATACCAAGGGCTCCCTGGCTGTGCACGGCCTCTGCCTTCGTTGTTGTGACCACAATCGGATGTAGCATCAACAACCTGGCCCTGATCGCCATCAACCGCTGGGTGGGTATCACCAAGTCTCGCTTCACCACACATCGCATCTGCACCTCCCGTAAGCTCGCCCTGATGGTGATCTTCGCCTGGGCTGTTCCGCTCTGTTGCGCCTTGATACCAGTCGTCACCGACGTCGGTGAACTTGGCTACGAAAAGCTGTACAAATCTTGTACCTGGGTCAGATCAAATCCGTATTCGAGTTACTACAGCACATTTGTCACGGCAATCAACTACCCGATTCAGTTGTTTGCCATTGTGGTCAGCTACACTTCAATCTTCTGCTATGTCCGGAAAACGTCGCAGAAGATGGCCCGAGCAGATGCCCCGTCTATCTCGGATAAGGTCAGCGGCGGAGTATCTAGCCGCGCCATGAGGAAGAAGCTGTGGAAGAGGCAACTTGACGTCACCAAGAACCTGCTCTACATCGTCTTGGCGTTCGTCTTCTGCCTGAGCCCCTACTTCGTGTCTATCATTTCCTCTGCAGTCTGGAGTTACCGTCTAGCCCCTTGGGGAGCCGTTGTTTTGTTTTGTAACAGCTCCGTGAACCCTATCATCTACGCCACCTCGCACCCAGATTTCAAAGTGGCTTTTAAGCACATGTTAAGGTGTCAAAATATGCCAGTGGAACGGAATGGGCGTTACAGATCCACAGGAAACACGAGCTTGAAGACATGGAGAGTTGTTCAGCAGATGCCCAGGACTGCTCCGTTGTCAGGGCCAGAAGCTGGTCATTGAGGGCTTGAAACGGTACAACAGCGAATGGGCGAGCCTCGCATGGTCTACGCCCCAATATTCCTTTGTTTATTCATTTTGGAAACGGACAAAGTAAAGATGATTGGACCCCTCGATACACGCTGCATTTTTTTGGAAAGAAATTTCTTGATGGCACCCCCATGTGAGTTTCAGTATTTAAACTACAGGAATCTGCTACGGAATCAGAGCCTTTTCTAAACAGCAGGTCTATTTGATATCCATTTGTTGGAAAATCTTAACGTCATGATGACTTCACCACAATTTGCGAATTTTAATTCAACATATTAGGCAATGTCTGATCGTTATGAAATTTTCTCAGTACGGTAACAGTTCCTTTCTGTTGAAAAGTGTCCTATACTTCACCATCGCGAACCAGAAAACGAAAACAATAGCTTCGGCAGTGTGGCCGAAGCAGCTAAAAAGGGGTTCAAAATGGCAGTTTTCTCCGCTAAAAGGTACAATATACCGGCTGTACTACTTTAACTGAAGCACCGTTTTCGGATGTACTAAGGTTTTCTACAACAGAATTCAGTGTTAAGATTTAATAATGAAATCACTGAATTATTCGTTAAATAAATGACCCCGTGCCAGGGACTCCTTCATTTAAATAAAATAGGTGGAGGAGAAATATATTTATTTGCCGTCTACTCCGATCTGAGCTGCGACGTATTCATTCACAAATTATTGTAAAGATACTTTTGCATAAAACACGTACATGAAATTGGCCAACTCCTTCACAAAATCCAAGAAAGCACATACTGACCTTGAAAATGACCGCTCGGGTCAAACTCAAGGTGGTAATGGTCGTGACTAATAATGATCTAATACGGTTTTTCTGCTGCCACCCAAAAATGCTGTCTTGAGTGTAAAATGTCATTTTAGGTTGTCTTTTCATTGAAGATTGTAGGCCTACTGAGTCTGGCACTCACCAGGGAGGGAGGAAGGGAGCTGCTAAGGCTTACTTAATTAATATGCCGCCGGTCACGAATGAACTTTGGCGAAGCAGATGACCGTCCACGTGCTTCAGCTGTTTGGAACACTTCAAGGGGGTGTTTAATGGCAACGTTGACTGTAAAATCTTCCCAAAAAGTTTAGCTATAGGCCTTTTATATAATTACCTAGTGACAAGTTTACGTGTCTCTTTTTCTTACCTTTTTTGTCATTTTTAATAACTCTCCTATTTTTCGTCTGATTGTATAACATTGTATTAAGATCCTGAAACTCTAGCAACTAGATTTTAAACCTGCACAGCCTCTTTAGCAGAGCCATTTAATAGGGGATGGCTTTTGGCAAATTCAAACTTATACTATCGATCTTATGATGTTGTTCGTCCATCAAAACCTATGAGGGTGCCAGTTACAGCTTGAATCACTTGAGAATGGCAGTCCCTCCATCCTCTGAAATTCTAAATACACGTTTTCTGTTACCCGTAAAATTTGAAAGTCATTTTTGGACTAGTCACAGTTCGAATAGTAAAGGGTGGCAGCAATAGATTTTTGATTACAAACCTCTAAAATGCACCTTTTTGCCTCAGTTAACCTAACTTTTAACTTCTGTTTCATTATTTTAAAGGGTATTTTAACGCCTTTTTGGCTTTTATGTTAATGAGTGCATTGAACCATGTCTTCCCTAGATGATGTCACAGCAATAGTGCCCTCAGTTCCATGGATAATTTTAGTTAATAGAAGAGATAAACATAATCACCGCAGTGGATGACAAATATAGTAAAACGATAATCGATGACTCGCGGTGTCGTGTTGCTGGTAGCGACGTTTCGGCTGCTAGTGCTGCTAGCCTTCATCAGGCAACTGATACGACACCGCGAGTCATCGATTATCTTTTTTACTATAATTTTAGTTATTTATAAACATGCACTTTTCAGTACATCGAACTAAATAAGGCGTGTAAAAGAGTTTTCATTCAACGAAGAAGAGTACAAAGATGCAGAGAAATTGTGTACAATAAAACTGCATTGCGCCTCCACTCTAAAACAGCCGTAGGCTACCACCTCGGCAATGATTCTTCCACAATCGTGACACATTAAATCGCACCAAATTCAAAAAGTATCTGGCTGAAGTGACATTAATTTATTCATTTGTGTAAAATAGGAAATTGTGTAAATTTAGGTATTTATCCTCCTCCGAAGTCTTTGTGTAAATTGTCAGCATACAAAGGAGAGAATTGTCGGAATTAAAAGACTGCCTTGTCAACTTACCTGAGACATATTTGTTCCGGGATAGTTTGGAAAGCACCATTAATCAACGTGTTTTCAGGAGATTTATTTCAACGCGGTATTTCCTGCCTTCTGTAAACTTGCAACGCGAAGCAAGGCAAAGCCAAGCGAGAACGTTTTTTTTTTACTGCTTGGCCAGCAAGCAAACTCATTTTGAATCCGGTGTATCGATCAATCTTCTTCGACTTGGCTTGGCTTCGAGCTGGATTTCTGGTGTTGAATTAAGCATCGATGACAGATGTTGTTCGGGTATTTCTCCCGTTTCAGAATCCTTAGGCTTCCTCCAACGATTATCGACCTCTTAAGTCGTGTCCTTTTCCTGGAACAAGTAGATTACATTCCATTACACTAAAGACTGAGCATAACAGAATTTTTTCCAGTGTGCCAAATATAAGCAATTGGTACAATGGGAAACTGTATGTAGTGGTTATTTGCCTCAGTAATAATACTTCCACTAACTCAGATCCACTACATAGGTGAAACTTATAGCCGTATCTTTAAAAGACCAATTTCAATAAAGAGATTCAAGACCGATAAATTTTAGTACAAAAGCCACAGTTTTCTCGACGTCAATTATTTGCGCTGAAAATGTTTTCCCCGATGTAGGTCTTGATGAGCTCGCCGGTTATTGCTGTTGTCCAATAATTATGTCAGTTTTGTGAAAACTAATGGATTTGCGTGGTGCGTTCAGATGAATTATATTAAAGACAAGGCACTTCGTGTTTAACTGTTTCTGCTGCTCAGTAATCTTGCGTTCAGTTTTAGGTAGCAATTCTAAATTGCCTTGCTGGTAAAATCTTTCTGTAGTAATTTTCGAAAGGAAAACCGTATATCCTTCCTCTTTTCCATTAATCCCCCACAAGACTTAATGGAGCCCTTCACGACGTTAACCTTTTTCACCCGCGTGACTGGATGCGCTAAATGTAAACAATACCACCACGTGAGGACCGCTTTGGCCACGGTGATTGTATTCCTACGGGCAGCTTCAACCGCGTACAAGCGCACGTGTGAACGCAGCATGCTTGACTAGTCAATAGACCAAAGGCCTAAGTAGATTACCATCGCAACACTATCCACCATTACCATCACAACACATTGCGGTCCAGACGATTGTGACATCACAGGAGAACATCTATTCAGGGACGTTTCTCCGGACATTCCCATGCATGGCCCTCTCAAATTCCAGAAAACATTTTGTTGTGGATTAGTGCTTTTGTACAATGGTTAGCACACTGCTCTCTGCATTGGCATGGACATATGAAGCAAGACATGAGACGGAGAGGACCCCCCTGCTTTGTATTGGTCATTGTTTCACTTTAAGACGCTAGGGGGTGTGTTACGTAATAATAGTCTATAGCGTGTTTAGCGATTGGACATGTTGGGGGGTACCCCTTGGTCTCATTTCTTGCTGGATATAGGCATGGACGTTTGAAACGACCAGTGTTGTATGACTCAAGTCCAGGACTCAGACTCGACTCGGACTCGACTCCAATCACACTGGATAATGGACTCACGCTCGACCACGATGACTCGGACTTGAGCTTGGTGACTCGAGTCACGTATTTTCTTTAACATATTTATCGTATTCGCCGTCGAAAATTAATTTGTATACACCAGTGCTATCACTGGTTTGCATGCGCGGCGCGTCGTCGCGTTGCATATTTTCCACCTCGCTCATTTAGGCCAATGTACGGCTAGATATCCACTGATGAGTCAACCAGACGTGTCATAATCCGTAACAACAAACTTTGCGGCGGTAGTCAGACTATGCGCTGGGCGCACATTTGTTATTTTCACTCACGTTATTGACTTACTGATATATTTAGCCTCATAGTTTCCAGAACCAGTAGCGAATAGGAACACTTGTAATGAAATGCCAGGCTCGCGTGTAAATAAAAAAATGCGTGGTATGCGCTGGTCGTGATTGTAAAAGGTTTTTAAGTACCCTCATATTCGACTCACGCATTCTCATGAGCCCGTCTTAAATGTACTTTAAAACCATCCCAGCACTTCGTTCCCTAAATAAAGAATTAACGAAGATACTGGAACTTAAAGTTTAAATGGTGATGATTTTCATAAGCAAGATGTACCCATAGCTTTTGCAATGTATTTAATTAACCAGCATAAACAAAACAGCACACAACGAACTTACAACTTTGATCATGGATGTTCCTCTATGGTTTGATACACTTGGAAGGGCTGAACAACTTTATTCATGACTTGTGACTCGGACTCGAGGTTTTTGACTCGAACTTGGACTCGGACTCAAGGCTTGAGACTCGGACTCGTACTCGACATTGGTGACTCGAGTACAACACTGCAAACAACCAGTACATATAGGCTTACCCGTGTTAGACCCATCTCCTTTTGGCCAAGGCAATACTCGCTGAACCTGTGATCTGCATTGGGAACTGTATCAACTTCAAGAGCAGCGTAAAAGGGTGTAGGCTATCGTGAAATAAATCTGAGCATGCGTCCCAACTCTGATTCTTTTTGGGGTGGAAAAAGCTTTAGTTAAGTATTTGAACCATCCAGACCGCCCATGTCGTTAAATACTTAGGTAATTAAGCTGGCACACAGTATACCAGGTATCGAGCTATCTTGACCACGAAAACAGTCTGTATATTATCCCAGTCGTCGAGAAACTTGACAGAGGGAGCATTTACAATTCGGAACCTCACTCTGCATCCATTTGCCAGCCCGTTGTGGACGGCACGCGATGCAAACTTCAAGTATTAACCTCCTTTGTAAAATCTTTTGTGTCCCAGGTTTTAAAAAATCATGACCAAATCGTTCCAGCTGCAGACATAAATTGTTCAGCTCGCTACTGTGGAGTGGCCAATCTGTCGTGATCGTTTGAGTTGAAAATATCAGTACATGCAATAGAAATATTTCCGCTGCAGTCGGAGACTCCCTACCCATCTTCCACAGCGCCGACGTTTATGGCCAAGTTCAACCAATCACGCGGTCGATTTGTCTTGGTATAAACCTCTGCACAAAATTGTATCTCGGGCACCCGGTTAGCCCACTAGCGGTAGACTTATGGTTGTTGGTAACTGAACTTGGCCTTACCTTTACCGGATTCATTGACCCACGTTGCCATTGCGTCGATTCTACGAGCTACAGGGCAATTATCACATTAGATTCCCCCCGTATATTTGCCACTTTCAAAGTTAATTTCGTGGAGGTGAGGATCCAAATGGGCAATCAATTTCAATAATAAATGGTGACAAGTGCCACTTTGCTTAACGGCCCCCTTTATAATCTAATTTAATTAACAGTGGCCTTGGTAACTCACACAATTTTATAAACGCAGGGTAAGTGTCACTACAATTATACTTCAACAACTCGATGTATTTTGAGACATGAAACGGCATCTGCAAAAGTGTGCCTAACATACATGTTCAAGAGTACATGTATCTACCGTGAGCAGAAGCACTCCCTCATCTGTTAAAAATAGCCATATTGGCTGGGAGTGTTCGTTTTGTTGGTAGCGATGTAACAATAACGTGTTTTTTTAATAGTTTTCTACCAAAGGAACTTGCCTTTCTCAGTCCGGGTCGGGGCTCGTACTGTGGCATCCAGCTTTCTTCACTGACTGTAACCATAGTTATTTCTGACAGTCAGTTGTCACGCGTGAATTTTATGTTCCAGTAAGAGATTGACTACAGTGTATCTGGGTCCGCAGGAAATCATTTTGATAGTCTGGAATCCTTTAAGATGAGATCGTACGTTTAGGAATCACGTAGCGTATTCTTCGTTGATAAGCTGAAGGAAACAGAAACACACGGATAATGTCAATAAGGGCAAATCTAGGAATAGTGGGGTGACCACAAAAATCAATTTGTGTTGCATTTTGAAGATGGGATAAAAAGGAAATATGCTTTGTAAAAAAAACTGAATGTTTCCATTTCAATTTGACGGGGGCTTATCAAAAGGCGAAAAAAATGAACTGCATGTGCGAAAAAATTAACACGGAACAACCGCCGTTGGCCAGTTTGACCTATTCCCGGTTTTCGCTTTCGATTCAGCATTATACAAGCCTATTAATTGTTATGGAAATGGAGCTACGCCCGCGACTGCCGTTGGCAATCGCCTTGCACTTCATTGAATGACGTCCAAATTAACGAGGAAATGTTTTTTTGTAGCATAGAATACCTGGTATTCACTTAGCAGCCAGCTACATTGTCATATTTGTTTTTATAAAGCTTCCTTCCTTTTTTTTTCGTTAGAAGCATGTGCATGCACATTCAGAGTCGCAGACCTCATTAGCTTTGGATCATTGGTCTGCATCAGCAACACTGTCGTGGTCGAAGTCAAGCTGCAATTACAAGACCTATTTACGGGCATTTTCGGATATGTCTCCCGCCTCCGCGGCTCCCGTCCACGCAGTTTGGATTCCGTGCAATCATGGACCACACTGCAGAGCGCGCTTACCCGACAAATAACTCGCCGAGATAGTTGCCGAGGGCACGTTGAGGATGATTTTCAGGGACAGCTGTCTTTCATCAAGATTTTTGAGTTACTTTACAGGCTGTTTCATAGGACAGTGCCCCGTTTGCGGAAGTGTGCTAGTTGGAAAAGCATTTTGTAGCTGTCTGCATTTCATATTGGACAAATGGTGGACTTGTAGATCGCGGGACAAGAGAAACTAAAGCTGCAGAAAAGTTGAATCACACTGCAGATGTTTTTTGTCAGTGAGAATGAAACCCCGATTGTTCTGAATAGGGAACACTTAAAGTGCTGGTTTTGGGCGACTAGTGCGTAAAACCCATAGGCCAGGGCCACTGCTGTGTTGAACTTGAGGAGTCATCTGAGAACGCCTAAGCTCAAAATATGTCTTCAAGCCCTGAGCAACAGAGTTTGGACCGTCACAATGCGACTGATTCTGATGCAGATATTGTGGTGTACAGGTATCATTACGAGGTGCACATTATAGCTGCTGTGCTCATCAGCGGAGCCATCTTGGGTTCGATCGGTAACTGCTTCGTTGTCATTGCAGTCGCCTTATCTAAGAAATTACGGACAGCCACCAACGTCTTTGTGGTCAACCTTGCTGTGGCGGACGTCACGACTTGTCTCTTCACACCCTGGCAAGCCGTGGCGATCCTTGACGGGAATGATTGGCCAATACCAAGGGCTCCCTGGTTGTGCACAGCCTCTGCCTTCGTTGTTGTGACCACAATCGGATGTAGCATCAACAACCTGGCCCTGATCGCCATCAACCGCTGGGTGGGTATCACCAAGTCTCGCTTCACCACACATCGCATCTGCACCTCCCGTAAGCTCACCCTAATGGTCATCTTCTCCTGGGCTGTGCCACTCTGTTGCGCCTTGACACCAGTCGTCACCGACGTCGGTGAACTTGGCTACGAAAAGCTGTACAGATCCTGTACCTGGGTAAGATCGAATCCGTATTCGAGGTACTACAACATATTTGTCACAGCAATAAACTACCCGATTCAGTTGATTGTCATTGTCTTCAGCTACACTTCAATCTTCTGCTACGTCCGAAAGACGTCGCAGAAGATGGCCCGAGCAGATGCCCCGTCCGTCTCGGATAAAGTCAGCGGCGGAGGAGCAAGCCGTGCCACGAGGAAAAAGCTGCGGAAGAGGCAACTTGACGTCACCAAGAACCTGCTCTACATCGTCTTGGCGTTTGTCCTCTGCCTGAGCCCCTACTTCGTGTCTATCATTTCCTCTGCAGACTGGAGTTACCGTCTAGCCCCTTGGGGAGCCGTTGTTTTGTCCTGCAACAGCTCCGTGAACCCTATCATCTACGCCACCTCGCACCCAGATTTCAAAGTGGCTTTTAGGCACATGGTATTAAGGTGTCAGAAGATTCCTGTCGATAAACGGAGTCAGCGTTACAGTTCTAGCAACACAGAGGAAACACGAGCTTAAAGGCATGGGGGAATGTCCGGAACTGCTCCGTTGTCAGCACCAGAAGCTGGGCAATGAGGCTTGAAACGGTACGGGGGAGCAGTAAATGAGTGTGCCTCACGGAAAATCCCCACCTTACTCCCATATTTATTTCATTTTGAAAAAAGGACAAAATAAATATGATTTCACCCCTTGCCACGTGTTGGAATTTTAAAAGAAAGCATCTCAGGCTAGCAAATACCCCTTAAATAAAGGCTGAAAACGCGAGATTTAATGCGATGTCCATTATTATGTACTGGTACGTTAAGAAGTTCTGTGCCGCAATTAATTCAACACTATAGTTTTGCAGTGAAAATGCAGCATTACAGTGCATTCAGATGTTGTGCATACAGTGGATATCTTATTTACTGTTGGTGGGCCAGTTAAATATGGAAAAGTCCTCTAGAGAAATATTCCTGTTTCATGGTAAGTGCGGCCCGCCATGCTAGCTCAACTATTATAACACAGCAAGTAATATGTTAATTGATGTCACCGCCGCTTTCCGATTTCAAGGTAACTTTCAAGGTCGCATTAGTCAAAGGGGGCTCAAATTTGGTAATTTTGAATCAGTAACTAGTTTTCTTTTAAAGCGTCAGATTGATCCGTAAACACAATTTTGTAATTGTTAGGGTGTCCCAAGAATGTACAATTAAGTATTATTGGTTTTTATGTTACCACGCAACTGCATTGTGTGATTACTAATACGGGCGATTCACAAAAGTGCGCCTCCAAGAGTTTGCAACGCGTTGACCAATCACAGTACGCGAAATCTGTCGACCCATTGCGCGTTTGGAAAGGGTCGACAGATTTCGTGATTTCGTGTGTGATTGGTCGATGCGTTACAAACTCTTGGAGTCCTGCTATTGTGCAACGTCCGTATTGTTGGCTCACTGATTTTTTATTTCTGGACATGTTTTCCAATATTAAACACATCCATATTCCAGGCAATTTACAACACAAACTCGTAACTATGGCGTACCATTTACGACAAACATTTCTCTCTCTCTCTGCCTCTCCAGGCGACGCAACAACAGGACGCGACGGCACGACGGCTGCCTTCCGTCGTGCCTTCGGGTCGCACCGTCGCCTTCTTGCCATTACGTTTGTACACACACGACGCGTCGTGCGTCGCTTCGTCCCGTCGCCCGTCGCGTCGTGCTGTCTTATGTCCTTTCCTTGTTACATTTTTTTTGCTTAAACGTCGCCCGTCGCGTCGTACCGTCGTCTGTCGCATCGTATGTCGTGTCGTGCATCGCGTCGCCTATTGCGTCGCCTGAAGCACGACGCGACGCACGACACGACACGCAACGCGTCGTGTGCTGTCGCCCTTTGCTTCATGGTGTTTATAGAGGGCACCTTTACTGTTTTCTGTCATTTTTGTCCCCCGTGTTTGCAAAGTACATGCTATTAGCTTTGCGGCCTTGGGCATGCGGAGCCTTGAACTGGCATCGTGTACAATCGCGTCAACGTAGTTTTTGAAATATTGTCTAGTCGTATGGCATACGTAACGCAGGATGGCCCAAATTATATTAAGCAACATACACAGGAATCATTGTGTAAGGCTGCCAGATCGAGGCTCTGCATGCCTATGGCGGCAACGTGCAAAGAGGAAATAGGTACTAGTAGCAGGTCTTTTTAATTAAGTTGTTCTAATTTGGGTCGTTGGATTTGTCTATACCGGCGATTTTACAGTGTGTAAGGAAGATGCAGATGCCAGTCAAGCATTTGAATCAATATTGTCATTGAACCCTGGAGATTTGATATCTGACATGACTGCCAAATCTCTTTAATGTTAATGCGTTCAACCAATTGTGAGTTGACCAGAAAACCGTTCTTGGAAGTCCAGCGTATCGAAAATCCGCGTCAGGTTACGCAAGTCTTGTCTGGTGTGATTAGCTCTAATTAAGTTGTCAGAAAGGAACTGGCGTGTGACTAACATGACCCGTGCTCTTTTTGCAATAGTTGTCAGCCTTTATTTTTCGTCTCCTCGCAGTGAAGACATTTATTTGCTTTTGTTTCGTGATCCACCACCAGGCTGTTGATTTCAAGTAAATAACAACCTCAACAGTTTGCTAGGACTCCGCTACAGTCCTTGAGATACGGGCATTTATTGGGAAAAGAAGTTAAGAACTATCTTCATACTTTGGGGCATCCGAAAACGGTTCTAAGTGACACCAGTTAGTTCGATTTCCGTCCCGTACTTTCGTGGGGGTGTTTGATGGCAAAGTTGACGGTCAAATCTTCTCACGAAGTGTAGCCGTGGGCCTTGTAGGAGGTATTAAAATGTATCTTGTGTTGTCCAAAGTTCCCTCGGGAAGAGCGTCACAGAAAATGCACTGGGCTCATTATTTTTAATGTTACATGCATCAACAGTGCGAAACACGATGAGCTAAGTACTCTGCTCTGCCCGAATCGTCTAAAAAGGGGGGGGGAAGTTATCGAGTTTCCGGGTTGGATCAATTACCTTTTCAACATGATACGGTCGATCCTCTCAAGCTGACCTAATTTAAGCTGGCTTGTTTTGTGTCAACAACGTTCGTCTGAATTACAGCACAGGAAATAAATCACCTGCCACTGCGAGCGGTGAAGGGTCGGTCAACGCGTGAGTTTTAGTGCGACAGAATGGGTATCTTTATTTGAACTACAATGTGCGGTCATTTGCAGAAGTTCAGGATTACCCATACAAAAGCCATTAATCTCAAGAAAATCGAACATAAAAGCAATCAATCATGACAACCTATGTTTATTTTCAATGTGTAACCTATTTCCATGAACAGTCTAATATTTAGTGTGCCCTCCTTTATTTTTGATTACTTAGACTGGCTATTTTATTTTACCCATGATGCATTACAGGCAAAATGTCATACAAGACTTGCCTTTGCAAAAAAAAAAAAATCATTCAAATGGGTATATAGCACTACACTAATGTTATGCACCACTGTAAAAGCATGTGTTAACATCAATGAGACAATGCAATGCAGACCCAGTGCCAGAAATACCAACAAAATTCCAGGTGGTCTTAAACGTTTGCAAATAACTGTAATAGGCCAAAAGTAGGGGGCCGACCCTTTTGCGCTTGTTTTAGATTTTTTAACAACCTGGTTTATTTCAGGTTATAGATAGATATTGTCCTGCTAAACATACGTGTCCTATGAGTTCCCTGGTTCAAAAGGTGCTCTTTCACCAGAGAATTCGTGTGTCGCTGAGCTAACTGATGTGGAGAGCGTCGAGGAGTGAGTTGGAGATATGCCTGGCCGTGAAAAATAGAACTTTTAGGGTGAAGAACCCCTCAGGTCAGCCTGGAGTTCACAGGCCTGTGCAAAAAGCGAATACATGAACATGTAGGTATGCACACATGATGTAGGCTTGGCGAGCGGATTTCCGCATTTAATCTTTATGTTTACAATTTCCAGAGTAATGCAAAATCTTAGAAATTGTGCAGCTTGTTTTTGAATCCGATTGAATCTGTTTTGGTTATGTTTCAGAAAAAAGAGGAATGTATCCTTGCAATTGAATGAAGCCATGTGAGCGGAAATGATGGCTAAACCAGAGTCATTGCTGGGAGAAGCTTGACTTCCCTAGCCAAAGGCCGACTACTCAGCAGGAAATAAAACCATATGCAAATCTATTAAACATGTTTGCCGCATTTTTGGACCTTTGGGGTCCTTCGCTTGAGGACCTTCCATAAGGATTGCATATCATCGGAAACTGATCGGCGATGCTCCCTGCGTCTCTCTACGTCGATATGGAACCAGGCTTTACTTGCACCTGGTTCGTTTTAGATGGTTGGGTGTACAGTACGTGCACATTATCAACATTTAATTAACAGTACGGTAACATTTTCCTGTGACAAAGATTTTTGCAGAGAGGGGAATTTTCTGAACATATTTGACCCCCAGCTAGAACCCACCCCTTCGTGATATCCACAGAGGCATCTTTTGCCTTTTATCCAAACTTGTCCGCTATTGCCCCAAGTTTTGTTTCTTTGTTCATTTGTTTTGGTTTGTTTTTCCTATTTTGGTTTGTTTTTATCAGGTCAGATTTAAAGTTTAGTGAAGATGGAGTACCGCCTGAGAAACATTGCGTAGCCAATGGCACAATTCGTTTTTCATTTTAGCAAAGGCTTGTAAACGTAGACCTACATTTTTCATAACCGATTAAACGTATTAGGAAATATTACAATTCTTACAAAAAAGAAATCTTTTGTCCAACACAAAGTACGAGGTGCCCGTACCGATAAGGGGTCAGACTAGTTTAAGCGTATACTGGTAGCCATCCGCACAGGCTTCTGCATGAATGGGAAACGTAATCTAGCTGGAACATAATGTTAATTATGTTATTTCAAAGAATTGAGCACATGTTGCGATAAAAGAATTTAAAAAAAAAAAGGTTTCCCAGTCGAATTACGAAATCGTATCATTATGTATTAACTCGCTAGGCTTCTGGCTGTGTCAAGCTAGGAAAAAAGCCATTTCTCTAGTGAAAAGACTATCGTTTTCACCCGTCATCTTGGGAATAATTTGCTGGCAAAACTATAATTGCCCGATTGTTGTTCGAATAACAGTTCCAAATAAGATCGAAGTGTAGCTTTTCTTATCAAACATCTCGATTTCGAGCTTGATCGTTCAGTAGGGACGGTAAGGCTTTAGAAGAATAGCCAGACCTACGAAAATGCGTAAACTCTGAGGAGGGCGCCTCGGAAGCACAGACCTATAAGCAAACACAATTAAAGCCTTGTAAAGTTTCAGCCTCTGTCTCCGTATTTCTGACTTTGGGGAGGGTTCAGACAAGCTTATTATAGCTTTGTAAATCTTAGCATCAAAATGGCAGCTTGCCTTCAGGCAAACACAATGTGTATGATAAATCCTAAGCTGCAGTGGGTCCCTTAAAACCTCTGGTGATTATTTTGTGGCAATATCCTTATCAACCAATCTCACCCATTTAAGATGGATGGTACTGAGAACACGCCTACGGAGCTCTAGTGCCCAGGTTCTACATGGAACCCTTCATTTAATTTGGCAGTACTGTTTAGGGATCCTACTGCTGCAGAAAAAATCTGAACAGTCATTTTTAGATGGAAAAAATCGATTTTTGCGCTGCCTCCTGACCCATTTCCTGGATACGCCTCCGGCACAGAATACGATATCAGATTCTGTTCGAGTGCATGATTTACCGATCTAGGCAGGTTTCGGCAGACCTTCTCTTTGTGGTGTCATTCTGCAACCGGAATTAAAAGCTGTAACAGCGGTGGCACAACGCTCGTGGACAGGTGGTACGCGGGCGTTTCACGTTTCTTCGACCAGCAAAGAGTCGTGATTTGCCAAATGCACGCGTGCGTCAACCCTGAAGAATGTACGTGTGAGTGCAGCGCCACCGCAGTTATGGCGTCTAATTAGATCAGTCTGTGGGTGTATAGAGAGCGAGAACCATGCAGCGTGTGAATAACGGTGAGCGAATGCTCCATTCGTTTGCATGGCATTTACCAGTTCTTCCTGACATCACATCCGGTACTGTGTAACAGTACAAACTCGGAAATTGGAGAACGTTGTTATCCAATGATGAATGTACTTAGAAATGTTCTTTACTCTAGCTTAAAAGAATTTGGGGCCAGTCAGAACCTTGAATGGTGCACCGTGAAGCATAGCACTTGAGGGAGTGAGCGCATCCTTCCTTTGAAATTCTACAAACACGTATTCTATTTCCTGCAACAATGGAACGTCGTTTTTTGGACTGCAGTCACGGTGCATAAACAGAATGGCCCTTTCAAACAGCCGTAGGTTACCACCTTGGCATTGAAGACACGAGCCGCCATTAGACATTTCACGATCGTGACGTATGATTTGGCAAAGAATTCAGTTATATTTAAACAAAACATGGCTGAAGTAGCATTACTACAAGTATTTGTGTTTAAGAGAAGATTGTCGTACTTTTTTACCACGTCGGAATCATTGCGTAAATTGTCGTACCATACAAAGGTAAGAATTATCCTAATAAGACTGCCTAGTCAACTGGGAAGACCATGTCAGTAAAGAGAAAAGAAAAGTGTCATGGTTAATTACTTAACCCAGCCATGGACTTAATTCCTCGTCGTTATTTATTTGTGTCCAAAACATTCTTCCTTTTGAAGGTCTTAACGAGCTTGTGGCTTAACAATTGGCTATTGTCAAATGGTTGTGTCGGCAAAATGAATGGATTCGCGCGTTGCGTTCAGATAAATGGAAAGGGAGATTTTGCATGAAGGGACTTTTCCCCAACATAGGCACATGTAATAAATAATAAGATTAAAGACAACGCACTGTTAAATATCTTTCTGTTTGCCAGTAACCTTGCTTTTCAGTTTCTTGTTGCCACAGCTAATTCATTAAAAGCATCAATTACAAGGTGACTTGTGTAATTTAACCAGTCTCTTGGTACAAGGAATCCTTGGAACAGGTGTCATTTTGATGTGGAGGGGGTTTTGAATGTCAGTAAAAAGAACTGTTGAATATAAGACCCTGGAATGATGGACACGGTCGGGCCACTGCACTGTGCAACGTTAACGTCTACACTCCTGGAATCAATTCATGGATACTGCCAATAACCACGCACATCAAAATGCAAGTTTCGGGTTTCACTTTATGCAACAACTCCCAAAAGGCAACCTCATACAGTTGAATATAATGCTTCCTGATTTATGCATTGATCAGTATTAAACTTGCTACTTGGTCATTCTGTAAAACTGGATCCATATTTTTCGTGTCCGTCTCGTCCGACGTGTAATTTGTAAATTCAGACGAAATAAAAAATCTCTAGTTTCTTAGAAAGATTAAGGAAAGTAAGTTACTTGCCAAACAAATTAAAAATTGTTTGAAATCAATTTTATTGGTACTTTTGTGTCAATCACACTGGTCAGGTGTATTAGGTAGGCAGAAAAGTCACATTTGGACCCAGAATAAAAAAAAATGGTTCTACTGATACTAAGTAGTCTAAAATAAAAGCTTTGCTTGATTTTAAAAATGCCAGCGCTACCCCTCACCGCGTCAAGATTTTACGAAGCTCTTTCGTCCGTTATCATGAAAGGGCGACCTCAACGATGCAAGGCGGAGAGCAGTACATGTCGCACGATTGGCGCGATGCAATTAGACAGCGAAGGAAAATATTTGCCCATGCACAAGTGGTCAATATCTGTCTGGCATTCATTTCCTTCCGCAGAAGCGCTCGATATTGCAGTCAAGCGATGAGTCCATTTAAGCCCGTTGGAAAAGACAACTCGCGACGAAATTGATGGGAGGTGTTCCGCTGTCAACTTTCCGGCACCAAATCCAATTACTAACGGGTACATTACCTGTCGTCCAAAATTGCGCGTAAGTTTGTTCATTTCCTACGCATAGATTAGTGGGGTGGGAATACCCGAAACGGGCACCGCTGTTCAAAGAAAAAAAATAAATGTATAGTTAATGAATTGTTATATGTAGGATTGGTCGATAGAGGCTCTCGTTAATGTAGACTTTTTGCAAAGCGTGTTATGAGATCGACTTACGACAGCAACTTTATCTGGAGCTTGAAGCGGATACAGTTTATAAAGTCAGGTGATCTCATGAACGGTGCACGTCAAATCAAGCGGGGTTCGCTTCGTTGACATTATTTTCTGAGGATATCGGTACTGAAGCGTTGGCGGGGTTTGATGGTAATTAAGTCTCATTGTCAAGACTTGAAGGTTAAAGAGTGGATTAGATTCTGTGTCGTCGCACTAAACACTGCAATCGCACTTCTGTCACGTTAGGAAGCTCCGCGTTCTCACGAGGCGTCTAGTCCCTCTTGCTGGAGATGCTTCTCCATGTTGATATCTGCACCTGTCAGTGTTGCTGATCAGGTAGTTTAAATAATTAACAGGTTTTGCGTTTACCAGGTTCGCCTTGGCATCAACACTACCTTGGTAGGCAGTGGGATTTTATGTTGTGGTTCCTGATCTGCAACACCCACCCGGCCTCATTTGCTAGACGAGTTGAGACTGGTCTCTAACACTGGAATTGTTTAGTGCCATCTCGCGCCATCTGTTTTCAGAGAAAGGAGAACTAAGTATACTGCCGGCAAATTTGAAAAGACCTGAGTGATCAGTGAACTGCAAGTAGTGTCGACGAAGCAGACATGGCGTGGGATTTAACCAACTCCACACCCTCTGATGAGACTGTCTTGACTAACAACGACGTATATTTCAGCTACGCCCAACGCCAGATTCTGGCGAGTATCGTAGGTATTGTCAGCGTTCTCGGTATCGTGGGAAATACACTGGTTATATTAGCCGTGGCCCTGTCCCGTAAACTTCGCCACACCACCAACTATTTGGTGGTGAACCTCAGTGTTGCCGATCTGCTCACGAGTCTGTCCCTACCGATGAATGTGCTGGCCGTGCTGAAGGATGCCTGGCCGCTGCCTGATATTTTGTGCATCGGCACGGGCGTGGTGTTCATCACCTGCCTGATGTGTAGCATCAACTGTCTGGCTTGCGTTGCTGTGAATCGCTACATCCTCATCACCAAGCCGAGCGCCCTGTACCGTCGACTGTACACCTCGCGAAGGACCGCCCTCATCATCATCTGTGCCTGGTTATTGCCTCTCTGTATCGCCGTCATCCCAGCCAGCACCGGCTACATCAAGGTGGGCTTCGACCCTCAATTCTTCTCTTGCTCCTGGGTGGTCTCCGAGTCTGATCCCGGCTATTACTACGTCTTGTTCTCCTCCTGTCCAGTCCAGTTGTCAGTCGTGGCATGGAGTTACGGGAGCATCCTCTATCACGTCCGCAAACACACCAGAGCAGTTGGTCACATGGACAGATCAGCCTCAGGAGAATCGGACACCGCTAAAACTGGCGAGGTTCCCGGCAATCATGCGCCCCACTTCGCGCCCGGGAAACAGAAACGTAAACTCCAGATAGAAGTGACCAAGAACCTGTTTTACGTTGTCTGCGCGTTTCTGATTTGCACAGCGCCATGTTGTATTAGTCTGCTTCTGGGCAAGAGCGGCCTCCGCCTCTACCCAATAGGCGTCACCTTACTGTGCTGTAACAGCTGCGTCAATCCAATCATATATGCGGCAAAACATCCACAGTTTAGACTTGTAATGAAGTCGATCATTCTCTGCCGATTTTCTGACATTCCTGAAAGAATACACTTTTGGCGGTTCTGTCCTCGCTGTGAAGCATGCCAATAATTTTTTGTTTCTTTCTGAAGTAGTGACGATGCACCATTCAAACTTTCAACTTTTTGAATAAAAAAATGTACACCTGTAATTAGTTGACTTTTATCTTCTGTATGCCGTAGCTGTTTTGTAATCGTGCGAAAACCTTTCACGAGTATACCGGTACTTCAGTGACACTGTTGATATAATGTTTGGTAAAGGTAATATAGACATTATCGAGAATCACCTGAGATGTGGAGAGTCGCGTACTTTTTTCAACGCCAAAACTGTGTTGCAAAAAAGGTTTCTGACATGTTCCGTCCCAATGAGTGGGCTTAAGTTAGCGTAAAATGGTCGTGAGCCTTGGCTTTTTTTCCCGTGAGATTAACTTTTCGGGGTTTATCTAAATGGTTAAATAATTAATGTGATCATTTAGAACTCGACGGACATGGTTGGTGTTTTTAAGCCTTTTGAGTCATCACGTTTTAACGGTGTATTTACGCTATCACATTCAAGTTAGATGCACATACAACATTGTTTTGTTTTTTCTTTATATATGTAAAAGCTCAAAGTTCGATTCCAACAAGTTCAATTTCTTTGTTTATCTGCGTAATATGGCCACGTTTAGTCAGTTTCCTTTTTAGATTCAGCTCATCGGTGCAAAAATATAAATATTCTGTGTACTATAGTACTATACAGACGCATTCTGTTCAGCAAATGGCTTTATTTTTTATATCAGGAACATTATTTATGTGTTTTGATCTTTCTTTTGATCGAAGTTTGCCCCAGTGGGCGTGGGCATGCTAAATGAGATGACTCTGAGAGAACACACATTCAAAAGAAGAAAGAAACCTGGAGCCAAGCCAAATTACACTTTTTTATATGTTGCATGACCCTTTGAAAATTTCCCTTTTCGCCCCGACCAAGGCAGGGCTCTCCAGTTTTTGCGAGTTTTTTGTCCGCCAAACAGAATGACACCCTTGACAGCTGGATTGCGAATGTACCGCTTTTGAGAACATGACGTGTAAGCGAGAACTTTAGATTAGTCATTTCTGTTGAAAAACTGAGAATTCCCTTGTACACCAATTATTAGGAACTGTACTACTCGGTCAGAGCATGGGTTCTTTGCCCTGTTCACTTCCCTACGGCATGAGCCACTGGCACACGGAAGCACGTGGTTTCTTCGCCTCATCTCATGGAGCAGAGCTGTATATAGAAAAGGTAGCGCCAAGTGCAGATGGCTGTTTAAAAGTGCAAAATGGCTGTTTATTGGGTGACCAGTACAATATGCAACTATCGTTGTGCACTAATACATAATCCACCATGTTGGTCCCAACGATTGAGACACTCATGTCGCAAGTCTATTTATAAATATCTCTGACATCATGTCAAGAAGTGCCCCCCCCCCAGGCGAGCTGCCTTCCCACCCTGGGATTGGATTGTCTACATTTTAAAAATAGTGCCCAAGTGTGCTCATTAGTTATACGGTGCCTGGCTGTGCGTTGAATTTATGCAGAAAGTATCTTTTAAAGTTAAAACTAGAATCTTATCCAGTTCTTTGCTATTTTACCTTTCACGTGGATACAAACAAAGAATGAAAATTAGGAACTGTTACGAGGCGGAGACAGGGGCAGATCCAGGAGGCTTATACGGGCTCAACGCTCGAGCCAATTTGTGTTTTATTGAGAAAAAGGCAACTTGTAAACTAGTCTTTTTCATTCCCATTCCTTGAAGACATATATTGGAATTAATAACACCAAGCACACTGGGTTTTTTTCGCTGTTATTGTATCGAATCAAGACACACGAAAAAAGTTTCACTATTGGTAAGAACTGGGAATGAAGTAACCCCTTGGGACGCAGTTGCGTACTTTACTTCCTTATCACCGCTGGCCATGTCGGCTGACATTCATAACATCTGAGACATGGAATTCGTAACAGGAATCTATTGTCATTTTTCAATTGCTAATCTTCCTAAACGCCCACCAGCCTCAAAATGTTACTTACAGCTTGCGCACAAGTGCGCTATCTGCTGGGGCAACATTTAGTGCTTAAATTATTGCCAGTATGCGCTTTGTGCGGGAGGGAAAGATGACGCGTACCTTCACGGGGAGGCCCTAGCAGAACTGGTCCTTTAAGAACCGTCTAGTGAATATACGTGCCTCTTTCCGTCGGTGATGCGGTATTTAGAGTCAGGGAAATGTCAAGCCCAATGGTGCAGTATACGACATAATTCGAGTGATGATTACCGCACGAGTCAACAGCATGAAAATTGTCCCTACAGGTTCTTTTGAAAAAGGAAATTGTTTGGCTAGAAATGGTAACCAAGATCCCTGTCTTTTTAGGCTTCCATCAGAGGAGATAAAAAATATGGCTGAAATAAAAATGGTTCCAAGTGCCCGAGAAAGTATGCCATTTTAATAGTGGCTGCTTGCAGGCTTCGGTACTGTATTTTTTCGGGACAGAGTTTGCTCCGGTGTAAATAATTTAAATGTAACTTGCTAACCGGCCGAATATTGCAAAGAAATGGAAAGATGTGGGCAAGACAGCGATTGAATCGTTGTTTGAGAACCGTAGTGATTGTCTGCTGGCATGTTTCGCCCTAAACTCTGTTGATTTTACACTGTTTTCAGTGAAGCTTGAAGTAGTGCATGCACCCGACAAGGCAGTCTGTAGTCTCCGTAGGCAGTCGTAAAACTGTCTTTAAAACGTGCGCAAGTAGATTCGACGGAATAGCAGACACGGCTTGTAGTTGTCGCTTTGCTTTGCACGACATCATTGGAAATAATGCTGTTTCACTTCCTGTTGCAGATCCAGAGTTAAAGGCCACATGAAAAAAAAACATAAACGTACTGGGAACAGATCAACTGCGTATGTCAGGAATCGCGTCAGGGAAATCCGAAAAAGTACAACTACATTGTACTGCATTGTGTTTTTTTGTGCAGTCAGCTGTGCGCCGTTTTGTCAGGGGGCTTGAAAATTGACATAATCGCCTGGACATTGTTGCACCCTCATGACTTTAACCCCAGAGAGGCGGGCTATTTTGGTTTTATAACCTGGGGTGGATGCCACCGTCAATCAGTGCTTGCTGTGTATGTTTACGTTTTGGGCTGACCTGACTCGGAATAAAGACGCTATATGTAAGCATGGTGTGCCCGACTTTCACAGAATTTTCAAATGACGGCAAGAAGTTACTAAAAAACTCCTGAATGTTTAGCTCGTGAAAAAAAAAACGATGATGGTATCAGGAAAACGTCGAGAGAGCCCCTGTGCTTTGGGGGTTCAGGGATTATCCAAGCTTTTTCCACTATTTATTAAAGGGTAGCAGCAATGGAAGTTTATACAAGCCTCATAATATACCTTACCTGATTTACATTTGCTTGCACTATTCCAAAGAGTGTTTTGCTGCCCTTTATGGTTTATATGGTATTTCCTTTATTCGTGACGAAAGCTGCGATGTCATCCCCAAAACACTCTTGCACTTTTTAAGATTTTTTGTCTATAGGTACATTTTGTGTAAGTAGACCTACACAGCAATAAGCATGCAGAAAATTAACCCTTTTTCAAACGTATTCAGTTCATAATATATACAGAAAAATCCCATGCACATAACCATGTTTCCCCGAGATGACGTAACAACAACGGCGCCCGTAGTTTTCCAGGAATGCAGGGATGAGTTTAAATGTTAACAAAAGTGCATTTTTAATACGTTTAATTTCATGGACATTTAAAATAGTTTTCATACCTTCTAGAATATCAATCAACGAAAAAATTATGTCTAAAAACTTCATTGTACCTATAATTTAATTTAGTGCTTTTTCCAGACAAAATAATAATGGGGCATGTTGCTACTTTAGGTACCCGCTCACTTTAAGGATTTTTTCTTTTGAAAAATATGTGCAGTCAAAATATACTCAACTGGAAATATAACGAGGGACAATCGGTCTTCTCATTATCAAGCCAAAACCTCCGGCAAAAGTCGATGCTGGAGCGCTAAAGATTTTTGCTAATGAGACCATCTGTGATTTCTCCAACAGTTGAAATCTGCCTTTATCAAAATATTTTAAAGGCCTTGCAACGCCCTGCAAAATGGCGACCCAAGATCAAAATTGGGAAATGAATGGAGCACTCCAAGAAGTCCATTGATACCAGAAAAAGTCATAACGTGGACGCCTTAATTCTTCAGAAAGAGAGAGAATTATCATCAACGACATCAAGTCCAAATTGGTATTCATCTCCAGCCCCATCTCCAGCGCGAGATAGTCCAAATGGCAAATTGTCCTCGGCGTGTCACACTCCATGCTCTCTGGGCTCTCCCTGTTTGGGGGAGTTAAGGTCCTTGGTCGGTCGGTTCCTCCTACCTGCACCACTTCGTGGGATTTTCTGACACCTTTTCATGTACCGGAAAGCCTCTTTGAAGTCTGGATGTGAGACTGCATATATGAAAGGGTTGACGCTGCTATTGCAGACAAGGATAACGGCACCCCAACCACCGAGCCGGTAACTCCAGTCCTCAGAGTTGATTAGTGCAATAAAATACGGCGTCAAACAGACAATGAACGCCAAGACGACGTAGAGCAAGTTTTTGGTAACATCAATCTGTCTCTTTGATATCGTTTTCCTCATTGCTTCGTTTCCATTGGCTACCTTGATCGTGTCATTCGACGTCTTTCGGACGTAGCAGAAAATTGAAATATAACTGGAGATGATAATAGTGAATTGGATTGGGTAGAAGATTGATGCAATCAACAGGGCATAGGTGTCTTTGTGTGGATTTGACCGTACTGAGCTACTGGTTCTGTATATCTGCGCATAGCTGAGTTCACCAAAGTCTGCAACGACTGGTGTCAAGGCCAAAAGAAGTGGTACGATCCAGGCGAAGATCACCATCAGGGCGATCTTATGGGAGGTGTAGATGCGACGGGTGGTGGAGCAAGACTTAGTGATACCCACCCAGCGGTTGATGGCGATCAGGGCCAGGTTGTTGACGCTGCAGCCGATCGTGATTACCACGACGAAGTCGGCCATTGTGCACACCCATCGTACCCCTGGTATGGGCCAGTCGTCCGCCGTCAGTATCGCCACGGCCTGCCACGGCGTGAAGAGGCATGTTGTGAAGTCAGCGACGGCAAGGCTGACCACAAAGGCGTTGGTGGCTGTCCGGAGGTTGTTGGATAAACCGACAGCGACGATAACAAGGCTGTTTCCGACAGCGCCCACAATGGCTGAAACGATAAGCGTTGCCGCCAAAATCTGTCTTTCACAGTCAGGTATTCCCGGCTTGTCATCTGCCTCTGCGAGTGACGAGTCGTTCATCCTAAAATGTCAGGAGAACAACTGACCGTTGTTCCTGTTTCCTCTACAATTGTAGTAATTGAGGAATTCGTCTGTTTTAATGTCGCTAGCCCAGTGTTCTACAAAACAACTTGTTCTGTCGACGTGTCACTCCCCATTAGCTTTCTTCCACTCTACATGAACTAGCCCTGTTTATATGTATGCTGGGACAGCCAAGTGCAATTTCCCCGTGACAGGGGCAATCTCATGATATCCTTTCAACCTGTTTCCGAGAGCCCGTACTTATTTAGCTTACAGAGCGTGACAGGAAAGAACTTTAGCTTTAACTTCAGGTGAAGAGAGCGTGCAGTGTTAATGTTAAAAGCAGTTCTGGTAGCTGTATCCATGCACGTTTCCCATCCAACTTTTCTGTCAACTGTCTGTCAGCTTGACACCAGCGGTGCTGCTGCGCCATGTAGTGCGGCATTGATACGAAGCAGAATCCAAGTCAAAAAGATTGGAACATGTTTTTGCTAAACGGAATACTTTTTTCAAAATTGAACTTTTAAAATTAAGAATCGAATATTTTTAAACCAATGTTATTTCAAAAAGATCGTATTTTTTAATTTGGAAGGTACTTGTAAAAACCAAACAAAATTTTAAAGATGTAGTGCATGTTTTTTTTTTAGATTCGAATGAATTTTTAAAAGCAGATGAAGTTTTATAGACGGAGCATGTTTTCTAGATTGGAATAAATTTTTAAAGAGTGAACATGTTTTCAAAATTCGAAACGGATTTTACAAATTTAACATTTTCTCAAGATTGGAACGATTTTTAAAGTCCAAACATTTTTAAACATTGGAATAAAATTGTTGACTCCGCATAAATTCTATTATGTTTGAACACTGTCATTCGACCCACGCATTTTACCCAAAATCTCATTTCATCCGATTGAGAACTTATCCAAATGGAGAAAACATCTGCAATGAGAAAGCATCAAAATTTCTAAAACTTCCGCGTTAACAAACAATCCAATTTTTTGACGGTGTTCAGCATGCGCATGCAAATCCTACGGTGGTTCCCGCTACTCTTTGCGGTTGTTGCCTTTGGGGCCTGCAGACTGGTCTCCATGTTACGGGGCATCCATTTTTGGTCATCATTTTCACGAGCGTACAAAGCGTACGCTGGGGGAGGGGGTGAATTAGTTGCGTACGCTTTAGAAACATGTTAACAATGACGGTTATCAGTCTGTTAATGTATCAGGTCTTTGTTTAAAGGCCAGTGGAGCACTGCGTCTCTTGTTTCTTTGTGTCATTTCTGTCATTTTTCATCGTAGCCAGCCGTGTTCTCGAGCAAGACTCTTTATCGACCCTTCCTTTTCTTAGGGTGCATAATATGTGTCTATGCCCAAAACACGCTAGAAAGGATAACATTATTAAGTACAAGAGTGCGACCATGTTGGACGGTCGTAGTTTTCTCTGAGCCAGAATTTTCACTTAAGGAGTAAAAGACTGATGTGAAAGTATTCTTAGATTCAAGATTTCGTGGTGTTTCCTTGTAGCAACTATTGCAGCCTGTTTCCTCACGTGGACGGCGTACATTACACTGAATTCCGTAAGCCGAAAATGTTGAAACTACACGAAGTTAGATCTGCTTATTTGAATTATTTCCTAATGAACAAAGATCTGTTGATGGGTTCTTCTTGAGTGTAAATACTTCTAATCAGGTGTTGTAGTCAGAGAGTATTTTCTCCGAGATTTCACTCGGCAGAGGCAGATGAACGAATCTATTCTCCAGCCAATATTTGTCGATGCCATGACAAGCAAGAGAGCTAATGCAATAGCCTCTGCGTAGTCGAGAACTGTCAAAACAAGAAAACACTTGACAATAAATACATGTATAACCCATCAAACGACTTCTTGGCACATACCTGAACGTGCCTATGGGAGGGACATCACCAGGAAGTGTCTTGAAGTGATCGTTTCGTTCGTGCCTTGCGGTGGTCACAGGTGCAGCACACTGGTTGCCGAGGTCATCCGCATGAAAATTGTCCCGATAGGTTCTTTTGCAAAGTTGATTACTTGGCCCAAAATGTTTGGATTGCGTAAATATCCGTCCTGGGCGGGACGAAGAGAGGGCGCAGTTTTCCAAACAACGAAGGCTCCTTTGGTGGGAACTGCATTTCGCCAGTTCACAAACGACTGTGTGAAATGCACGCACTGCGGTCACGTAGCCGCTACTAACAAAAGGAACACTCCCCACCAACATGGTTCTTTTAAACCGATGAAGGAATGCTGATACTCAAAGCGGATAAGCCAGGATAAATTTCATGGTCCTCAGAGGCTTCCATCTGACGGCGATAAAATAATGGTTGAAAAAGAAGAGTCCCAAGTGCCCCCTAAAGTAGAGGGATGCCATTTGACTGCTTGCAGGCTTTGGAACTTTCAATTTTCGGGGGTGGGTGAGTTTGTTTTGTGTGAATAATTAAAACTGTAATTAGCTAACCCACCAAAACTGGAAAGAAAGGGATAGATGAAGGACAAGACAGTGGTTCAACTTTTGCTTGAGAAAGCTCAATGATTCGTGCATGTTATCGAGTCCCGAATAATATTGAGTTTACACTGTTTTCAATAGGGCTTGAATTAGTGTACTGCACCTTATACATTACTACTCACATTAAGGGATTTTTCTGTCACTAGATTCCGGGTTATGCCTTCGTACGATCACGTGAAGTTTTATTTATTGTTCGCATTGAAACTAAACCTTATTTCTGTACTTGATTGGTGCCCACGCCTTTGTTACCCAGTACATTTCGTAACAGTGGTTTTACTCGTAGTTCCGGTTGTGGCCTCTAAAAAAGGTCCCGTGAACCAGGAAATAAATTCAATCTCTGCTGCTTGAAATAGCTTGTGAAAAAATCAGAGACTGGGAAACCCGTTATTAATCTATTTGGAGTGCCTTATTATGAGTATTATCATGGACAAAAGCAATATTGGTACATTTATACAGTACTACACACAAGAAAAAAATATTTTTAAAGACCACTGTTTTGTTAGCTTCTTTTCAGTTGAAGAATCTTACATATTCTGCAAATTATTCCAGTGTCCTGCACCTGTAATGCAGCCATTGTGTCCACATACACATCATTCTTTCTGTTATCAACTTGCTTTGGTGGTAAAATTAAGTTCTGCTTGAATTAAGCCTTTTGCGGGCTAAATTTGAATGAAATCTGGTACAGATTCACGTAAACATAACAATTTGAATTCTTCATACCAAAGACAGTGTTGCTATGACTCGTGATTCGGGGCAAGGTTTTGCTTCGTTACTTAAGAGATGCCTTACACCGATACACACTGTTTGCAATAGAGAAGAAGGGTACAAAGGAGCCAATCCAGTTCAGAGATTTTGGTCACTATGCAAAAGCTTGCCTTGAATCGCGAGGAAATAAGCAAAGGTGTCTTTGGTCTGGAGAAATCAAGTCGTAATGTTTATATGGAATCAGACAACTAGGTAACTTGCAAAAAGCTTATTGGCAGACTCTTCTAATTAAATTTCGCTTTAACCTTCGGTAGCCTGTTTGTTTCACCGTAGGCCTAAATGCACCAAACCAGATTGGAGCAGTCAGTGCCGCACCTATATGAGTCAACTGCTGTCCACCAGAGTGCTGCAGTAACTTATTTTTTTAAACGACCATCCCTGCCACGATAGATGTCATCTGTAAACGCCAGCCTTTGCAAAACTGCTTTGTCCCACTCTGTGCGCGTGATGGAACGATTTACATCCCTTGGAGTAGCCCAAATAATCTCCTGAATGGTTGCACAAAAATAAATGAGAGAATGTGGTATCCGTGCAGCAGTAGTCAGAGTTGTGGTGTTGAGACCCCCCCGACGCCGCCACGCCTCCCCACCTCCCCTACCGGTGGTCAAAAGTACAATAATCGTGGAGTCTGTTAAAAGCTTGGACTCAGATGTAGTGCCAGTTGAGAACTATGTCACGTGGACACAACAATTACTTATTACACGCAGTTTCCGGCCGGAATATCCGTGGACAGGAAAGAGTTTATGTAAAACGTTTTCAGAATAGTGACTGTAAAGGACACGGTCGCCAGACCTCTGTAAATTCGATGGAGCTTTATTCCCAGCCAGCATTTGATGGTTTGACAGGAAGTTCTTCCATAATTAGGCTTTTTGATTGGTGGTGTCTAAACATTCCTGAGTCACTGAGGTGCTGATGTTATGTAGAGCTGCCGTAGACATCTTCCTGACAACACTCCGAGAGGCTCTCTGACACCTTAGCAGGTGTCTGAAAGCCTTTTTGAAGTCTGGGTGCGAGGTTGCGTAAATGATAGTGTTGACGCTACTGTTGGACAACAAGATGGCGGCACCCCAGGGAACGAGTCGGTAACTCCAGTCGGCATAGGCCACGAGCGAAATGAAATAAGGCGTGACACACGCAACGAACGCCAAGACGACGTAGACCAGGTTTTTAGTGACGTCAATCTGTCTCTTCGATATCGTCTTCCTCGTTTCTTCGTTGGTTACGGTTTCCAGAGTTTCCTGTGACGTCTTCCAGACGAAGTAGAAAATGGAAATGTAACTGACGGCGACAACAGTAAGCTGTATTGGGTAGTACACCGCTGCGATTAACATGTTGTAGGTTTCTTGGTGCGGATTCGATCTGACCCAGGAACACGATTTGTAGAGCTTTTCGTAGCCTAGTTCGCCGACGTCGGTGACGACTGGTATCAAGGCGCAACAGAGCGGTACAGCCCACGAGAAGATCACCATCAGGGCGACCTTACGGGAGGTGTAGATGCGACGGGTGGTGAAGCGAGACTTGGTGATACCCACCCAGCGGTTGACGGCGATCAGGGCTAGGTTGTTGATGCTGCAGCCGATTGTGAGGAGATTAACGAAGGCGGTGGCCGTGCACACCCATTCCGCTCCCGGTATCGGCCACTCGTCGTCCCCTCCCAAGATCGCCACGGCTTGCCATGGTGTAAATAGACTAGTCACAACATCAGCGACAGCGAGGTTTGCTACAAAGACATTGGTGTTCGTCCGGAGGTTTTTGGATGAAGCGACGGCGATGATGACAAGGCTGTTGCCGACAGTTCCAAACACGGAAGCAATGATGAAAATCGCTGCTAAAATCTGTTGTTCATAAAAACGTTCATAAACAAGAATTGAAGCAGTAGTGTCCACCTCGACAGATGGTGTAGTATTATCCATATTGTTTTTATTACAGGAGGAGGAGGAAACGTGCGAGCCAACAGATATCAACATCAACGGCGCGACATTCTGCTCGTCGGTAACTTTCCAGACTAACTTATCATGGAGCACTGACGTTTCCACAATCTTGCCACAACTAAAATTCCGCTGTTTATCTTTACCAACCAAAATTTACTCGCCACTGTCTCCTTTACAGGTTACCTGGACAGGTTTTGCTTCATGTTTCACAAACAATCCGGCTTGTGACTGCTTTTGGTCTGACAGCTCGTCACGATCCACGGATATCCATGTTAACCGAACATGAAATGAAACTCAACTCAAGTCTATGGTTACATTGGTGGCTTTCAAACCTTCGCGTAAGCCATCCTGAAAGGGCAACACGTATTTTCATTGTGGCTTATTTCCCACGTTCTCCATTTGAAGACAGGAAAGGGGAATGCCTCTACGGTCATAAACCACGGAAACACGTATATCATGTTTAATTTATCTTTGTCCATGCTTTGACCTTGTTAAGTTCCGTTGTCGGCGGGCAAAGTGAATAGGATTTGCTAAGGTTCTTGCAGTGAATGCTGCTGATCATTTTTTGTTTGTGATAGCCGTAGGTGTTTTGAGGATTACACTTTGTAGATTTTCAACCATAAGAGGGCTGAATTCCCCTGATTTAAATATGATTTTACACCATTTCCTCAGGAGTTAGGGTCAAGGTCAATAAGTGCCTCAAAGAGTGGTAATGAAGCAGTTATTTATAACTATCGGTTCGTGTACATGGTCAACGTTTCGAGGAAATGCGAGGCAAGTTTGCGAGCTTTAGATTGGTGAGAATCGAGATACGAGTTGTTGAGTAGTGAAAATTGTCTGGGAGAGTCAGGTTGATACAGTGGTTGGTGCAGTTGTGCTTTTAATCGCCTTCCACCTCTGCCACCTGGGATTCGAGGCCCCACCCAGATCTACCTGCGAATAAGATTTTTTGTTCACTGTAACTGATTCCATGGGTTTTCCCCAGAATGTTTGTCCCAGCTCTTCCTCAAACCTCTAAGAACCGAACATTTTCCTTGTCTCCTCTCTCGGGGCCCCAAGGGAGAAAGTTCATAACTGATATGGCTTTAGGCTGGTTACACTTTTCAATAAATTAGTTAAGCCTGTTATGGATTTGCACTTTCTGTACAAGTGCACCCTCAACAGTGACAACTGGTTCCACACTACAAAGCCATTGCCGTATAGTTCGCATGGCGCCCACGCTGATCGCTATAGGGTGCAAGTATGAACGACAGTAAGAAGAAAATCGTCCAAGCTGTCAAACTCGTGAATTTCAAGGGAAACACACAAGCCCGCTCCTTTCCTGAGCGTCACCAGGCGGCGCTATTTCTCTCCATTTTTGCCCTGTTTTTTGTGAGACGTGCGTAGTAGGCCAAACGACAGTTTAATAATGTAAACCAGACAATCATCCAGGTTTCTACCGTGCGAATGTCATTTGGGGGATATTGGACAATCACCCAGCCGCTTAGATTAGATACTGATTGCACAACTGTTGTGCACGAAAACCGCCAGTTGTTGCGTTGTCGGTCTCTGAATATCCCCCAAAATGAGATGTTCGCTGTAGAAACCTATGCGAGTGTCCAATGTCCTACGTCTAACTTCACTGTCGTTGTGGCAGAACGCTAGCCATTTGTGCACATTCTGACCGTGTCAAGTCCGACTCATATGTGCTCAAACAAAATGCTTGCACGAGGTGGGTCAGACCAGTGACGTATGTGCCCCGAGCTAGGTCAACAGAGGGCGCGATTTTCCAAGCAACGGAGGCTCCCTTGGCTGAAACTCCACTTTGCTGTTTCACGAACCGCGAGATGCATGCGTTGCGTACGCGTCGCCACCAACGGAATGAACACTCTCGACCTGCACGGCTCTTTTTAACCGAGGGTCAGGCCTAACTAGGTCAGGCCAGTGGGACGTCGCTGCTCATGGGAAAATTAGATGCCCTTTCTCGTCAACGAACGGGGTTTCATAACCTCATGCCCCTTGAATAGTGATCATAGAGGTGATCGGATTTGTGATGGGCATTACATCGCATCCCCAGCATCGTAGATAACGCGGAAAATTTAATGGTCGAGTCGTCGCAACTGCTTTCAAATCACAATTAATTTTTTCTTTCTTTTACTCTGTACCGTAAAGAGTCTTAGATTCTTATAAATTACCGAGAGCTAAAGTACATAAAAATGAAGTATGAACATGGTTATGGGCTGGCAGCCACTGTGGATCCAACACATTTGTCAATTCAAAAAACGCAAACGATCCTTGTCATGCGTTTCCTGAGAAATTATTGTTTCAAATTTGCGAGATAGTTCAGGTTAACTGATTGTTGAAAGTACAATAGTAGTTTCAGATTTAATTATTTCTGTTTGAATAAAGTTTGCTGCATCTGTGCGTGTTATCCTCCAAGAGTATCCACCTTTGGGGCTTGAGAAAGTCATCAAAAGTTTGACGCTGTTGATAAAGAATTCCCTGAAAAGAACTCACTACACTGACGTTTGTATGAAAGTCTGTCAGTATATCTGAGCGTAACATGGAATTCACATGCTATACCTCAGAGCTCGCGATTATATGAGATCTTTGATGGTTAAAGGAACTGACATTTTCACATTTCCTGTCCTCGATCACGTTCTTGAAAAACCCTTTGAAGTCTGGGTGGGAGGTTGCGTAAATGATAGGGTTCACGAAGCTGTTGCAAAATAAAATGCCGGCCGCCCAGGGCGTCATGCGATAACTCCAGTCGGTGTCGAGTATGATGGCCATAAAAATGGCGTCAGGGATATCGTAAACGCCAAGATGATGTACAGCAGGTTCTTGGTGACGCCCAGTTGCCGCTTCCACGTCTTTCTTCTCATACCTTCGTCACATACTCTGGTCGAATCGGATGGAGCTACTAACTCTGTCATTCTGCCGGATGTTTTATGGACATAACAGAAAATTGATGTGTAACTGAAAAATATGACGATGGTTTGAAGAGGATAGTTTGCTGCTGTAAGCAAGATATTAAAATATACCGAATACTCGTTTGATGTGTCCCAAGTGCAGCAAGCATACATCTTTTCGTAGCCAAGTTCACCGACGTCAGTCAGGACCGGTGTCAAGGCGCAGCAGAGTGGTACAGCCACGAGAAGATCACCATCAGAGTGAGTTTATGGGCGGTGTAGATGCGACGGGTGGTGGAGCGAGACTTCGTGATGCCCACCCAGCGGTTGATGGCGATCAGGGCCAGGTTGTTGATGCTGCAGCCTAAGGTGACGACCACGGCAAATCCCGCCATGGCACACAGCCAGGGCGCGTCCGGCAGCGGCCAGTCCTCGCCGCCGCCCAACATCGCCACCGCCTGCCAAGGCATAAAAAGACAGGCTACCACGTCCGCAACGGCCAAGTTGACCACAAAGACGTTGGTGGCCGTCCGGAGCTTCTTGTCGGTGCCGACAGCGACGATAACAAAACTGTTTCCAACCCCTCCCAAGATGGTGACGATGATACAGATGGCGGCGAGGATCTGTCTTTCGGCGAAAGACTGATTGGCACCTCTTTCTATAGCAGCATCCTGAGTATAAAAATCGAAGCCTGTTATTTGTGGAGTACCTGCAGTTCCGTCACACATTCTCCTTCCCTAGTTCGAACGTTTTCCGCCGACAGTTTGATTGGATGCAGCGTCTTCCACGGAAAAAACTGTTGGCCAAGCCCTCACGGCCCGCATTTTCTAAACTGCTTTCACGCGCAATGTTCTCCAGGACAGGATTTGTGTCCAAGCAAGCTAGCATAAATGAACACAAACACAAACGCCATGCGGTTACGTAGTTTGACACGTAGATAAAAATCGTGCACTTGCTCCCTGTAGGTCTTTTTTCGGTTTTTTTCTGTGTACTTTGCTCGAGGGAAACGGAAATAATTGGAGGTTATTCTCCTCTTCCATTTTTCGGTTTGTAATTATTTCCTTGGTGTGGCTGTGCCATTACATTTTATAGAAAAAGAAACGAGAAATTAGAAAAATGATAAGAACTTGCCTTCGTGTAGATGTACTTAATCTAAGAATATCCCTGTAATTTTGATTTCCGCATTAGGCTAAAGTGTTCACACGTTAATTTCGACTTTTGCTTTCATTGCGAATTATTTTCTTTGATTTATGTCATCGGTCCTAAGTTTGGGCAATACCTTTCTATGCAAAACCCGTAAAAATCACTAGGGTATCTAGTGGTAATACCGTTTCTGTCTGACAAGCAATTGCTTGTTGTGCCTTTTGTTTACTTTTAAGTAACCTTCCTAAATACGAAATATATACAAAGAATAATGTCCGGTGATTTTAAATATGATAGACTTCTTTAAGCTGTCCGAAACCTTGCACTAAAGCCTTTAATTGAAATGTCCATCCACAGCCTGGCGGTAGAGGATAACCATTGAAAGCTTTTTCAGTGCGTCGCATTAAGAATTTTACTCCCCAGATAGATCGAGTGGCCTTGCCCCTAAATACTGCCAATTTTCATATAATCATTCCAGCCCATTGAACCGCGGAGGAAAGGGACAAACTGCAACAACAGATGGCGGGTATTATACACAAACGTTTATTTTCACATGGCTTGAATGCAGGAACATTGTCTCTCAAAGGAAAACGCAACAAAAGCCAACTCGTATAATTATGCAGTACACAAAGTACATACCGCCGTTATAAAGAATGAGTGGATAAAGGATTAAACACTCTGTAACTGTTTACCAGTAATTTTCATTCATAAATATACTCAGCATATTTCTTCCACTTCTTTTGTTGCCTGATAAAAATGATACACATATGTTGACTGCTTCGAAGGGTGTAGTAACAGCCATGGAGAAGCCTTCTTCCATGGTAAAACTAGCCTCTCGAGGTAACCCGTAGAGCATACTGTTTCCCCAACAACCGACGGAGGCGAGTTGTACATCAATAGATAAAGCTGTCAATAAAAGTTGTTTTATAACACCTCTCCCATAGATTCTGAATAAGACATCGGTTGAAAAATTACCTGTGCTCTTCAACTGACTTTTGAAGAAATGTGTGAACCTAGCTCTGTAGCGCCAGAACTTCGGGATGCTCGTAATGAGCAGCGCGCACGCACTCCAGAATTTTTTTGCACACATTGCAAGTGGTCATGCGTATAGTTCTTTGGTTGCCTCGAGTATGTGTTTTATCTATGATCTCTTTGGTATGGGCTCCGAGCTGGACCAAGAGAGGGCGCAACTCTCCCAGCAACGGAGGCGCTTTTGGTAGTAACTGCGCATTGGTGGTTCACGCACGACTATGAAACGCAAGCGCAGCAGTCGCATCTTTACCAACAAAATGAATACTCCCGACCGACATGGCTCTATCCAACCGATGAGGGGGTGCTTCTGCTATGGACGGAGAGTACCTTCCGCTGCAAAAAGTGAAATAGCTCGCGGCCAAACCAGATACAGAATCTGTTCGTGAAGTGTTATAATTGCCTCCATTAACGGCCGGAAAAAAGTCTCTATTTGAAAACAAAATGAAAATGTATAGCACAACAAAAACTATATACATAATATATTCATTCCGTCTTCTACCAGTGTCGCTACAGTGAAGATAATATTCCATTAGCCGTGCAGAAACATGAAACAAACCTGTATACGAATAGCTGCATGAATGGTGTAATCTGTTTTAAACTACAGACAAGACCAATTGTTAGGCTTCCCATGAGACGTTTTCGCACAAGCCGTTAATAGTCCGGCCCCATGCATCCCATTTTAACAACACTTTTAAATCATCAGAGTTGTGAGTCAAGCTTTCAAAGGTTCACTTTCAGTGTGTGTGCTGAGTTTTGACCTTGCACTTGCCAAAATGTATCTACATCTTTTGAAGGTTGCCCCATCGTTTTTTGGACAAGCTTGTAATGTGTGTCCGTCCTCCCTTTGACCTGTCAATGGCTTGTGGTTGGCTTTATTACAACTCTTGTACCTGAATAATCCAAATAAACCTTTTATCTTTGGGTTTTCTCTGTTTTTTCCTAACCCCCGTCATTTTGTTTTTCATAGTGTTTAACTGGTCATTGTGCAGTATATAATTTTTATTTTTCTATTTCAAATTTATTTCCATGTATTGATGCTAATATACTCCTTTGTGAAATTGACTGTGAGAGTTTATCCTTTCAGCTGCGAGAGTATTTTTGAATAAAACAATAGTACTAATGACATGTGACGTCTAAAAAAAGTTAATACATTAAATGACAACACCTTTATCTCGACATGGAACTAGACACACTTAAGGAATGAACATATCTGGGTTTTATAACGGCTATATGTAATCGACTATATCCAAAGCTCCTGGCTCACACACCAATCAAGAAAGCAACCAATTTTGTCCGCAGTTACCTCTTCCGAGATAATTTCTATCGTGCTAGAGTTAATTTTACGGTCGATATACTTTCGGCAGAAACAAATGACGGGGATCTGCACGACTGCCGACGACGAGAGCTTAATTAGAGTCTGTGTGTCTTCGTTCAGGAGTGATTACTCTTATCTTCGATGGCATTTTATGTGTTATTTATTAAATTCTTTATATTTTAAGTCTAAAGCTAAAGGTTTTCCACGTAAACTTATACGTAGAGAGTTTTTTTACAATCATGCGGGACCTTTGCTATGCTGTTTTGTGCCGGCCCAACAGGCCTTGCGGATTTTAACTCTATTTAAATCTCACGCTATCTGGGATATATTAACTGGGCCTTCGAATCGCGCAATTTTCTGTCTGATATTGTCTGTTGAGACTTCGTTAATTGATGATAACTCAGTGTGGGTATTACATTAATGAACTCTGTTGAATATAACCCTCTAAGATAGCAATGCACTATGATCTTTTCTGTGTTAATTTTTAATTTTTTTTCTAATATTCTTAAATCTTTGAACCACACTAACTTAAAGTTGACACAATCACCACAAAAACTTATCTTTCCTCCCTTTTGGGTGGATTGTGCAGTATGTGTTTCAGGTTTGAAAGTCTAGCTAGTGGTGCATAGGTGTAAAGTGTAATAGAACCAGCACAACAGTGGTTAATTAAGGGGTGTGCGTCATCAAGCTGCCTCGCTGGGTACAGTTACTGCCCAATTTGTTCCGTACCTGTGTGATGTTCTTGAGAGCTTGTTGTCGCCGTGGACCTCTTTCGTTGACTTATACTGCCAGTAGGAATCTTCCGGCACCTTATCATGTACCCGAAGGCCTCTTTGAAATCTGGGTGCGAGGTTGCGTAGATGAAAGGGTTGACGCAACTGTTGAAGAACAAAATGCCGCCGACCCACGGCACCAGACGTTGGCTCCAGTCGGTGGTGAAAATGATGGTGGTGAAGTAGGGTGTGAGGCAGAGGACGAAAGCCAAGACAATGTAGAGCAGGTTCTTGGTGACGTCAAGTTGCCTCTTCCACAGCTTCTTCCTTATGGCACGGCTTGATACTCCGCCACTGACTTTATCCGAGATAGACGGGGCATCTGCTCGGGCCATCTTCTGCGACGTCTTTCGGACGTAGCAGAAGATTGACGAGTAACACAGTGTTATTAAAATCAGCTGCAGTGGATAATACATAGCGCTGAGGAATATGCTGTAGTAGACTGATTTGGCAATTACCCAGGTGCAGCTAGCGTACAGCTTTTCGTAACCAAGTTCACCAAAGTCTGTCAGGACTGGTATCAAGGCGCAGCAGATCGGCATGGCCCAGGCGAAAATCACCATTAGGGCGAGCTTACAGGAGGTGTAGATGCGACGGGTGGTGTAGCGAGACTTGGTGATACCCACCCAGCGGTTGATGGCGATGAGGGCCAGGTTGTTGATGCTGCAGCCAAAGGTGACCACGATGACGAATCCCGCTGCGACGCAGAGCCACTTTGCGCCAGGTATGGGCCACTCATCGTCCCCTCCCAGCATCGCCACCGCCTGCCAAGGCACAAATAGCGAGGTCAAGATGTCCGCTGCCGCCAGGTTGACCACGAAGACATTGGTGGTCGTCCGGAGTTTTCTGGACAGAGCCACAGCGGTAACGACGAAGCAGTTACCGACTGATCCAAGGATTGCGCCGGAGATCAGCAAAGCAGCGAGAGCCTGCCTCTCGCAGAAAAACTGACACATACCGGTATCTATCCCATCCGAGGAATTAACTTCTCTGTCATCGCCCAAAGTTTCCTCCGCAAGCAAAATATCCTCAGTGATATTTTTCATATTCAGCTCACAAACCTTGCGCTGCACGTCAGTTTCGAATAACAAAATGCGTATGTCTTAAGTATACAGGCAGTTTTAAATCCCGTGCATCCCAGCCAAGCGTTTTTTTTTGTTGGTCGTATCGCTGGTGGGTGTTATATATTATGTAGCAAATTGTTATTGTGAACACTCTGAGGTGAAACTGCCCAGTCCACTTGATGAGCATGTGAAATAAGCTTTCACTAATTCCCGGCTGATGAGGGAGGGCGGCTGTCGTCAAGCTTTTCCAACATGTTATGGCGTCGACAGTCCACATCGATTGTGATCTATTGTAAATTGCTCGTGACCACTCGAGCTTCCGCGAGACATTAGCGTGATTCTACGGGGCAGTCTCGGTGTCAGTGAAAGATGGCTGTATCTCAAATCACCAATTCGTTCAAGACTTGTCTCTGTGACGATGTATCGATCGATTTTTCTGAACAATACCTTGTAATGGAGGGAGTTGTATTTACCCATTCAACAAACGACAGTACCAAGCTTCCGGAGATGAAGTTACGCAGGATGCCTGTGTTGCGGATAAGTGTTAAAACGTGTTCAGTTTTGCAGGTATTGTGTTCTCCACACAACGACCGTCACAAATCCATCGTCCATCAAGTCTGGGCCCTAATTAGTTTCACCGGTGACTGAAACATAAGCTATAACTACACAACTCTGCACCTTTTTGTTTGAATTCATCCCAACCATCGTCTCTTCGATATATCAAATATTTTCTAAGAGGAATGACAGAATACGATTACCACTACTGATGAGAACAACATAACAAGTGTAGAGAAGCAGAGTGAATAATAACGTACTAAACAGAAGGCTAGACTCAGTTATGCACAATCTTTTCTTCCAGTTTTACTGTCAACTCGGCGACTTGATGTTTGCTTAACTTTTAATCTTGTCTTTTCCATCCTTAGGAGTTTGGAGCCAGACAGAATGCCCCGGATGCAAAGAGCAATCCACCAATTGGCGTTGTTACCGTACGTTGTGTATATATAGGGCCACCTGCCCCCACATATCTGCCTTCATGAAAGCGAGTTTTATTAGTCTAAAAGCTAATGTGTGCTTACCTGCCCGTATAGTTTTCACAAATTAATATCTGTCTCCATCTCAGATTACCTTTGTTATTCGAGGCTGTCTGTATATTATATTACTGAAGCGATAGTGAAGGTTTTAGCTCGTGAAATTGTGATGGTGCTGCTCAATCATTTTAAGTATGTGTGGTCAAAGTGAACCAAGTAGAGTACCACGCATTCTTAAACGGGTGCTATATAGGCTTTGACTGTTTTGTGGATTTGTCATGCATCTATGTATGTATTTTTAAGGTATTTTAAGCGCTTATCTCTTCTCTGTATTTGTGTGTAAGTTTTGATAAATCTAGAATTCTTTAGTTGCCAAGAAAAAATACGAGAGGAGATTAAACCTTGAAGGGAAAAAAGGAGGTACTTTAAATACAATCGTGCAGCGTTATGTTATTTAAGTTCATGTAATGTTATTAAGGTTGGTGTACTTTAGTGTCAGTGATGTGGTCACATGTATTTTCTTTACATAAGACCTTTTTATTTTTAGCAATACACAAATACCATTTTTCTATTTAAAAATGTGATTTCTATTTTCAAATAGTTACATCGCTATCTGAACTAAATTACTTCACACCAGGCTATCCATAAAAACCGTTTCTCTTTCGTTTCTTTTGGTACAGATTGCGCATTGAATATGTAATAGGCTTAAACCCTAAAAGAGTCGGGAGAGGAATATTCCGATGTCATTTCAGATTTGTTTTTCAAGAGCCAAGCTTTTAAAGATTTTTGGAAGTAACTCTTTGCGGGCATTTTGACACATTTTGTGAATTTCAAAATCGAATGCACCGTTCTCAGACAGCATCCGCTTTATTTGACACAACGAGAAATGAACCATATTCCATTGCAATGCTGTGTACATGCGGACTGGCACTCCTGTGGTCTTGAACTTCTAATAACCATGACAATTAAGCCATGAGTCGGATTGAGTTGAAACTTCATGTAAGTAACTTCATGCTTGCTTAGTTTAATTAAAAAATTGGGTGTTGGACAACCGATTTCTAAGGGAGCGGAATCCCCCTGTAAACCATGAACCCGCGAGTCATTGTGTCCAGGGTGTTCAACAACATACTGTCTCGTTAGAGTGCAGTTAGTGCCGGGTCTGTTCGGTGTCTGCTTGGTTCACTTCAGTGCTTGTTGTAGCTGCAGATCTGTTTCGATGACTCGCGTTGCTAGTAGGAATCTTCCGGCACCTTATCATGTACCCGAAGGCCTCTTTGAAATCTGGGTGCGAGGTTGCGTAGATGAAAGGGTTGACGCAACTGTTGAAGAACAAAATGCCGCCGACCCACGGCACCAGACGTTGGCTCCAGTCGGTGGTGAAAATGATGGTGGTGAAGTAGGGTGTGAGGCAGAGGACGAAAGCCAAGACAATGTAGAGCAGGTTCTTGGTGACGTCAAGTTGCCTCTTCCACAGCTTTCTCCTCATGGCACGGCTTGCTCCGCCGCTGCTTACTTTCTCCGAGACGGACGGGGCATCTGCTCGGGCCATCTTCTGCGACGTCTTTCGGACATAGCAGAAGATTGAAGAGTAACACAGTGTTATCAAAATCAGCTGAAGTGGATAATACATAGCGCTGAGGAACATGCTGTAGTAGACTGATTTGGCAATTACCCAGGTGCAGCTAGCGTACAGCTTTTCGTAACCAAGTTCACCAAAGTCTGTCAGGACTGGTATCAAGGCGCAGGAGAGCGGCATGGCCCAGGCGAAAATCACCATCAGGGCGAGCTTACGGGCTGTGTAGATGCGACGGGTGGTGAAGCGAGACTTGGTGATACCCACCCAGCGGTTGACGGCGATCAGGGCTAGGTTGTTGATGCTGCAGCCGTAGGTGACCACGATGACGAACCCCGCCGCGACGCAGAGCCACGGTGCGCCCGGTATGGGCCACTCGTCGCCACCGCCCAGGATTGCCACCGCCTGCCAAGGCATAAACAGCGAGGTCAGGATGTCAGCCAGCGCCAGGTTGACCACGAAGACATTGGTGGTCGTCCGGAGTTTCCTGGACAGGGCCACAGCAGCAACGACGAAGCAATTGCCGACTGATCCAAGAATTGCTCCGGTGAGGAAAATCCCAGCTATAGCCTGTCTTTCGGCAAAACGCTGATACACAACCAACCCGTCGGACAAACTCCCTTTGCTGTCACTGCTGAAGGTATCCTCCTCCATCGACAAAATATTTTCAGTCATATTTTCCATTTCAAGCTTACAAACTTTGCCAGTGGTTTTTGCCAGTCTTAAATGGCAAATTGTGACTATCGGAAGCAGTCGGTTTTTGAATAAAGGACCCGTGCAAACAGTCCCAGGCGATTGTTTTGGTTCGTATCGCTGGCCAGCCACACCAGCTACGTTTTTTTCAGAGCCAAATGAGACAGTTTCCGAGTTGCTCGAAGATTAAATCTCAAGTGGATACCGTTAAAGTCTTACAGGTGACACCTTCCATTCCACTCGATGGCCGAGTGAAGCCGGCTGGCACTAATTCCCGGCTGAGGAGGAAGGATGGCTGTCGTGAAGCTCTAACAACGTATTACGCCGCTCGACACTCCTCGTTGATTGTAATCTTTAACAAATTGCTCCTGGCCTTGACCAACCACTATAAAGTTTCCGCGAGACAACACACAATTCTATGTGGCGGCCTCAGTGTAGTCGGAGATGACTTTTTGGTTATCGAATCGCCCAGCTTCGTTGTGTAACAGTTTGGTGGTTCAACAGCTCTGTCGTTCTGGCGATGTACTGCTATCGATTAATTTTCATGAAGATTGCCTCCCGATTAAGTGAGTTCTTGCATGTACCCTTGAAACAAATGACGGTGCGTGCAACTTCCAAGTATAGCACAGAATCGCAATATTGTGAATGCTTCATGTGTGTCCAGTGGTGCGTGTAATGTGTTCCCCACATAAAGACCACGACAAAAGCATCGTTAACCACGTCAACACTAACCCGTTTTAACAATGCTGAAACATAAGATACTTATTGAGGTAACTGGTGCATGAAATGTGTTCCCCACAAAAAGAGACTATCATCGTTCATCGCGTCAACACTTATCAGAGTACAGATGGCTGAAACACAACATACTTTGAGTAAAGTTCACTTCCATCTGACGACTACACAATTCCGTCCTTTTGTTTGAGTTAAACGCAGACAACCTCTCTTCTGAATGACAAATGTGACACATTTGAGGAAGGATAGGATACCATGACCCCCCCCACTCATAAGAACACCATAATAATTCAGTGGCGATAGGCAATACGGTACTTGCCCAAAAGCTAGTCGTGTCTGAAATTGTTCTTCCACTTTTACTGTAAACTTGGCCAGTCAGTGTTTGTTTAGCTATAACTTTGTGTTTTCCACCTCGAGAAGCAGATCGGATGCCACCCTGAATGTCCAGGGATGCAAAAATGATTTCTTATCGGCTGGCGTTGCTATTTTGTACATGTATCGGGTGATCTGCCGCGAAAAATCTGCTTCCGTGAAAGTAAGTTTTTTTATTAGATGGTATCTGTGCTTGCCTGACCGTATAGTTTTCACAAATTCACGCCCGTTTCCAAAGCGGATTGCCTACGTCATTTCAAGCTGTCAACGGATTTGCCTATGGATGCAGTGTTGGGGGGTTTAGCTCATGAAATCGTCGTGTCGCAAGATTTTGTAGGATTTTTTTTGCGCAAAGTGAACCAACGTCACAACTCAGAATATAACGGATTCACTGAAGCCTTTGACTTCGCCATTTGTTTTTTTATTTTTTGTAATTGAAGACAGATGGCCAACATCTGCAATTTTGTAGTTGCCACATGTTCATCAACTTGAAAAGCATTAATTGGCAATGTACAAAAAGCGGTATGTCATCAGAATGAAATAAGTTGAAATCACCAATCGTGACAATCAACACAAATAACAAAGGAGATCAAAAATCGAAGTTCAAGCTGATGAGTTCGTCGTCTTCGTCTGAAACACCTTGAAGAGTGCGGAGATTTTGTGTGATATTCTGTATTGTGTTACAATTTATTTTCGGTCTATTGTAACACAGTTTAGGTTAGCCTTTGAGGCCGTAATGGAGGACAGTTGGGTCTCTTCCACGAGCGTGGAGTAAAGTAATTTTCTTTGCTTCATAATTCATTCGTTGCCATGGGATGGATGTAAAAAATGTTTGCTCTGAGATTGCTTTCGTGGGTGAGACGCTGGGATTGCTGTGCAATTACTTCACTCATTCTACACTGGCCACACAGGGCACAGAGAGATTGACTGATGCTCTGCATAGAATTTTGAGCGTGAAGTGCGTTCCAGCTAAGGCCGTGTGCAACGCATCGTGTGTTATGTCTGTGGTTATATCCCTTCCGAGTTACTGCGTGCAAATTCAGCTGCGCATGTGTCGCACTTACGCGGAAGTACTAATCAGTGCAATGCATAGAATGTCTTAATACGGGCGTTTCACGATAGGGCTCCTCCAAGAATTTGCAAAGCACTGCAGCCAATCATAATGCACGAAATCTGTCGACCCAATGCGCGCTTGGAAAGAGTCGACAGATTTCGCACATTGTGTCCGGCCAACGCGTTGCAAACTCTTGGAGGCGCGCTATTCAGATGAATCCTGTCCAGTCAGCGCCCAAAAAATTACACCATGCATTATGAAATATAGCTGACCTTTCTTGCAAATAAAATATATACTCACACACCGACCCACACCCATACATTTGGCAAAGATTGAACTTTAAGATGTTAGTTAAAAGATGAACAGAAAATGAAAACATTTACGTAACCCTTTCAAAAACGTCATAAATTCAATGTTTACCCCGTTAATCGTGACCCCAACACCACAAGGCAAAATGTTAATAATACTTTAAAAAAATAAAAATTAGAATATCTATCGAAATTCACATTAGAACTGACTCACCCATCTGACGGGATTTTCAATTTCCTCGGTTATTTTAAAACGTGCGTCGTTTGAACTCATCGGCTAAAACTTTCAATTTAGTCCAAGAAAAGCATTGAATGCTTTTACCAAAACTGATTTCGTCATTTACCGTTCAAAACATTTCAAAACGCAGACATGACATTTAAGCACCATGTCAAGGATATTCGTCATTACTGACCAAATTCGTCTTAGCCGTCGCTAAATGGCAGAATTCGAAGATCGAATTCGTCTTATGCGCAACATTTCAGAACTTTTGCAAAGTAAATCAGTTTGTGTAGGCTTTTCCATTTTTTCTGGCCGTCAAAAACAATTTGGCAAATTGATTTTTTTTACTGTAACAATGTATCCCAAAAATGATCACTAATATTTTCTCCTGTTACTTTTTTGCACCCTGAACTCGTCGAGTGTAAAATAATTCGGAACTAGACATTCATGAACTTACGAGGAGAATTAAAATGAGACACAACGCAAATGCATTTGCACCGTGTGCCTTTTTGTGCAAGTCACCATAACGTTCGAGAAAATTGAATAAACTTGAATCTAGGGGCAAAGACGACTTTTTAAGAGCGGCTTTAACGGGGCGCAATCGACTAGCTCCTCGCCGAGCGCGTGTTCTCACGGTTTGAATTCGATCAACCAGCAATGGAAAGTGTATGACAGTCAATGAAATCAAACAGTGCAGGTGTACTAAATCGATTTCGCTTGATGAATTTGAATATATATCTGGGAATTGGAATTAAAAAGTTGGAAAATAGCCTTGAAAACTTTTTGAAATAAACCGGTCTTCACAGCATGTGCATCCCTCCCTCTTCTCTGGCTTTTAAGACATTTCGCAGGTTGAAGAAATGCATCGTTTCCGTGTCCCCTAGATCTAAAACCTTGATACGTCATCAAGGCGTACTACACTATATTGAAAATGAAATTGCATGGATTTCCTTTTAACAGCGAAAAACTGCACAATCGTTATTGCATTTGTTATAAATTTCAAAGCAGCTCCTGTAAACACAAATGAACAGCGGCATCAAAATTACGTTAATATTAAACTCACTTATCTGTTTGTGAGCCCAGTCAATCGAAGTGGTTAATGTGGCAACAGTTTTTGACATATAAGTTGCTGTAAATCACACAATAACGATCCGTTCCACCATTCTCGGCTCGTCTTTCGATGCGTTGACCGACACTGGCTGCGGGAGAAGGAGGCGGGATTGCCGGGTAAACACCCGAGTAACGACACGGTCGAGCATTCGCAAAATGGAGGGAAACCCAATTGTTGTTCCCCAACAGGAACCCCGTACAGGTTCAGAGCGTAATGTGAGTGTCACTGTCAAGATCCCGAGCACAGAGTGTCAGGGTTGCTCTCACGGGTCTTGCTCTTATGCTAAAGAGAAGGCGTATTCTTTCGGGGTTTTCTCTCCATTCTGGACTGCTTTTGCCGACATTCTCAATAACATCAGCGTTAGGCCAATCGAACAATGCGCACAGGTTGAACAAATATTGAAGTTTCTACGTACTAAAGTGCCGGCTTCCCAACCTGACAGCGCTATAAGCGCGGTCCAGTTTAACTCATTTCTCCCGTTATCAAAGACCAAGGCGGTCCATATCTTCAGGGTGGAAAAACGTGTATGATTCATACAATATTGTAATTATTCCATAACTGCATACCACCAAATCATAATACTAAACAACTTTTCCTTGCGAAATGGCGTTAAATATCATGATGGAAAATATCAAGAAGAGAGAGTAGAAAACCTTTACCGTAATATCCAAAACCAAAAGGATGACGGAAATGGCTAAGTTTAGTCCTGGCATGAGATCAAGTAGGAAGGGATGAATCTCTTTGTCGGCGAATTTGTTGTGCAGACGTCCTAGTTATTGAAACGAAAACAAAAACTAAGACTATCCGGTTCCAGCAGTAAAAGTCCCACCCGGAAACCCGTCCGATCCATGACGGGATACCTCGTCCCAGACGTGCTCAATGTGCTCACCGGCTAATGACTAAGCACACAGGCCAAAACAGTAATCAACCCTTCAGGGGTTTGCCCGCTGTCGCCGAGACGTATGTGGCTCTCATTCTGAGAAGCGGAACGAATGTTGTAGACAGACTGGGGATGCATATTACCCGTCTTGTTGATGTGAAAGCAGAAATGAAAATTTCATATTTTCATGCCTTTCCAACGGTATGGAAATAGCTAGAAACAGATGTGATTTGCGATTTCTAAAGTCAATACTTGTATTTAAAAAAGAAAAAACATACAACGGAATCGTTTCTTGTTTTAGGTTTGGAAGACAGCGCTGTGGTTAAATGATCATCTATTTCAATCCTTGTCCTGTCTCACAAATTATCGTGGGAAAAAGGATCGAAATAAAGACGGGACTGGTAGACGACGTCTTTTGAGACAACTGCCGAATTTGAATATGCTGACATACACGAGAAATTTATGCACACTAATGACATGATGTTTGCTGAAGGCCGCTGATATTGAAGCAAATCGTGTCTTTAAAAAATTTCGTCGTGCGTTTTCTGTGAATTGGCTGAAAGGTGCAGAGAGCAGAAAATGGTGTAAATTGGGGGCTCTGGTGTATAAGTGCTCTAGCTCTTATATCGGCAATCCAACCGATTCTTCACAGAAGATAAAGCTCACGAAAGTTGTCAACATCTGGGCGCGTAGTCTGGTCCCCATGGACTGCTTTATCTTTGCACATTCATTGCGCAGCAAGATTGTATCTATGGAAACGAGGTTGCGCCTGCGTCCAATAAAAAGATGGACTCGCGCGTCTTCTTGGCGCGTCACAATAGCAAACCGCAGCTACAGTTTCCAGAGACGGCAGCAAAGCAAGACGCTCCCATCGCTCACATAGATATAGAACTATCTGACATCTATTTTTGGATTACTGCGTGAGTTGTCTCTTCGCGCTGTTTGGTAGAACCTTCTTTAAAGAATGTGCGCGTGTCTGAAACATTTGTACTTCTAAATAATGTCTTTGGTCTGAAAGGGTCTCAAAGGTACACACGGTCGCAGGTTGCTGGTATTCAATCGACCTTTTATTTATTTATTCAAACTACTGAATCTTACGTGTAGACTTCCAACAAATGGCAGCTGAGTTCCCGAAGAGAATTCCATATTGTTTCCATCCTACAGTGAAATTTGATCCTTTACCTGGGGTGAAAGCTAATCAATCGCCGAGGCTTGATGGAGGAACGAGACTTGGCTGCCAGGCCAGTTGAGCGTGCAGGAAGTGCTAAAAAATGGAGACCTCATCTCACACGCCACTATTGACAGAAATGAGAAGTAACGCGTCAGCTCCAGCCCTGGGCGTTGCATTAGTCAAGGTTCAGCTTGATGCCGGAATGAGTGAGCATCCATTAACCCAACGGGCTGTCAACTCCGTCAGCGAGCTACCTCCAGCCTGCCCTCTAGGAAAGCGCAAATCGACTGGCGCTTCGCTGGTCAAGATTTCGTGCAACGCGGGCTCCAAGGAGTTGGTCGACATCAGAGACTCTGCCAGGGATGAAGTCATCCCATGCATGTGCTGTGAAATTAATAACGATGATGGTCAAAACCTTCGCAGCCCTCTGTTTGCAGCAGCTCCAACTGAATCGGGGCGTTTTCAAAATGGCGCTGCAGCCTCTGCCGATGCGGCCACCGGGCAATCGACTGACCGTCCCCGTCTGGAGACCAGCCGATCGCTGCCCTCGATCCTTCTCGTCCCCGAGCGCACCCGACGAGATTTCTGTCAAACCCCAGCGTCGCACGAAGCTAGGTGCTCACCACAGTCGAGCTCGCACCGACCCGTCGATCCCCCCTCTTCCGTCCTAAGACAATCGCAACGAGTCACTGGGATTGTGAGTGATTCCATGCTGAGCCTGCCGACCGGAGACATCTGTCGCATCTGCCACACCGGTGGACGCCATGAGTCCTTGATAGGACCCTGTCTCTGCGCCGGGTCGATGAGATACACGCACCAGCGATGCCTGACCACCTGGCTGGCCCAGAGCGGCCGGTCTCGATGCGAACTCTGCGGTTACAAGTTCAAGACCAAGTTGGTGGGATCCCGGAATATATTCCAGGTATTTAATCCATGAACACAAACGTTATTGGGTAAAAGTTCCCCACTGCGGAACAGACGAGACCCAACATAAGCCTAAAAGGCTTATCTGGGATGTGGAAAGTAGAAACAACCGAATGCAATTCACAGTAGTGCGCCTCTAAGAATTTGCAACGTGTTGGCCAATCACAATGTGCGAAATCTGCCGACCCTTTCCAAACGCGCATTGGGTCGACAGATTTCGCGCATTGTAATTGGGCAACGCGTTACAAACTCTTGGAGGCGCACAATTGTGATACGCCCGAAAATTGGGTGGGGGTTGGTCTGGGAACCAACAACCCTGCTGCTTTGATGCATATGACTTGCTAAGATCGGGGGTCACATCTCACAAGATGGTAATAAACCACCTTGTTGGATCGAAGCATTTTCTCACAAAATCACTAGTACAAACATAAACCAGCATGTCGATACCCGTGCTAAACTAAAGGATTAAGGAATGGATCCTCAAGGTCTGAAACACAGTTAGTTTGAAAAAGTATTCTTCATAATTTGGTTTCCTTTATAACATGAACAGGGTAGTAAACGTAATGAATACCCGTAATATGATCTATAATGTGCCGTTTAATAATTCACAGGCTTATTACAAATCATCCATTCTGTTAGTATTGTATGTTTAGCAATTCACTGATGTCGATAGAATTATTCTTAGTCACTTGAGGCTGACACGAGGCGTGATTTCTGTAACTTCCGAAACAAGTAATTGTCTTGCCGTAATTTTTCTTCTAAGCCTTCGGGCAGCCTGGCTGTAATAGACGTATTATTAATCTTTGCCTGCACTATAGCTTCTATACAAACATTAGACCCCCCAAGCAGAGGTTCAACGGAAACGTTAAACGCGTTGACTGACGTTGAACGACATGTGAATTCTGGTCACGTTCGCCCGCCTCCCACGGCCATAAACATTCCCTCGATTAATTTGGCCGGCCCGTCTCGCAGATGGAATGCCGTGAAAAAAATTAAAAGACGCTTGTCACGAGACGAGCTGAGAGGCCCACTCCCCATGCGTTCGTTCGTGCTATGCGTTCCTGACCAAGGTGATCCTTATAACGAAAACAACACTACTGGAGGCGAGACAAACTGATATGACCGGTTGGGCAGTATCTACCTTGGTTTGATTTTCGATTTTTTTTTTAATGCTTATTTAAGGTAACAGAGGGTATCGTTTTGTTAAGTTATCTGTCGCCAATGTAGACGCATCAGTGTAAACGCATCGTTATGTCCATGACGCTCTAGTGCTGGATTATTCAATTGTGCGCGAAAAAGAATCCACCGGAGGTCTCCCTGTGGGTCTATTTTTCCCGAATCTCTGCACCGCGTAAAACCACGGCTTCGTTTGTGACCTTAAAATCACTTGATGTGATGTTGCAACTAATGGAAAATTGACTTACAGTTTAAAACTCCAAACTCATTATTTTTTCAATCAGGCAAAGCCCATAGAAAATGTCTCACATGATTATGGCTTTCGGGGTTAATACGGACGGTTCACAATAGTGCGCCTCCAAGAGTTTGCAACGCATTGGCCAATCGCAACGCGCGAAATCTGTCGACCCTTTACAAACGTGCATTGGGTCGACAGATTTCGCGCACTGTGATTGGCCAACGATTTACAAACTCTTGGAGGCGCCTTATCGTGAATTTCCCGTATTGAGCGAAATAACTCAAGCATCAGTTTTTATGGTTAATATCGGTTTCAGTGGAAGGTTTTCCCTCTCACTGTGACGGATAAGCTTCATCTGATCATCTTCGCCTTGTCTGTCATCCTCTTCACCGGGACCACGGCCTACATCACCTGGACCGCGACCAAGTCTGACGTCATGTCGTCCGTGGACCCGGCCTCCCTGGCGACGCAAATCCTACTGCCGGTCTACTGCAGCCTGAGCTTCGTGTCGCTCGGCCTGCTTGTGTACGAGACGAAGAGCACATGCCTGCGCCTGGTACGGCGCTGGAGGGCGCTCAACATGGGCCTGCAGATTGTGGAGCGCGATCCTGGTGAGGAGAACACGCGTGCCGGTGACGGTGTCGATGACGATGCTGCTCACCAGTCGGGACCGTCCATCAGCGGGCTAATCTCGTGTGTCGAGGGAAGGGCTTGGGGACGGGTGAGAGCAGGCAGTGAGAACCAGACGGTCCACACGCGGGGTGACGGCATGCCCAGCGGTTGGAGCGTGTGGTCCGAGGCCCCGACGGGCTGCTAAGAGACGGGCGGTCGGGGACTCTTCCTCCAAACCTCTGGTGCTGGTTTAGCAAATCGAAGAAGAAACCGTGTCAATCTTAAAGTAGTACCGTTATGCATTAGGGGAGTGTATCAGCAGGGAATTAAGTTTGAAAGCAATTTGGAAAGATAATAATTCCAAGAAACGTGAAAACAGTACCTTTAAATGGTTAACTTGAGCATTTACATATGTTTTTATCACTTTATGCAAAACCGCAGAAAGTTTACTAAGATTGAATCGCTCGGCATTTGTCGATTACACGGGACCAACCCTTATTAAAAAAAAATTCAGACAGTGCAAGATCTTCGGCAGGGTTAAAGATTAACAGTTGTTCACGACACATTCTGCCTGGCCTATATTATCTACAGTGTGACGGCCGGAGCGGAGGGTTAATTTCCTGCCGTTGCTAATTCTGCTTTAACGATGACGGCCCGTCACCCTGCCCAATCTGGATGGGCTTTGTGTTCAAAGGGGAGTACTCGTGCATAGGCATCGCTGGGGGAGTGGGTGGCAAGATGGGAGGGGAAATGAAAAGTGAGAGGGAAAGAAAAAAGAAGGCAGGGGGTGCAAATAACAATTTGTTAGAGAATACCTGGATATTGGCCCCCTCCACAAATGAATTTTGTTCTCTAGTTTGCTGCTGAGTGCTTTGCCCCTCCTCCCCCCCCAAAAAAAAATCCTTGCGACGCCTACGATGATTTGTGCGAATTGTCTTCGTTGGATAAAGTCTGATTAAAGAATAAGAAAGACAAAGGGTTAAATTGTCTTGCGACTTTTTTTTTCAATACGACAGTGTATTTGCTTAGACAAAACAATCAGAATTAACTGCATGTGGATTATAATTTTGGGCATTTTAATTTCTCGTCGGGGTTTTATGACTAAAATGCTGGGTTAGAGGGAACTGAGTCGAAAACTTAATTGGACTGATCGGTGCGTGTTCCTGGGGCGTACGTGACTGAACTGCCAATCAGTTTCTAGTCACTAGGAAAACTGTGTGGATTGAACAGCGTATAGATATTGGCGTTGCAGGGCAGAGTCATTCTCGAAATCAAGGCTGATTACAAACATTGGTTAAGCTGCAAGAATCGCCTTCTTCTTATATAGGTGCCAAGATTTTTTACATGCCTGTTAAGATCAAATAAAATGAAATACTTCAACTTGTACCATGGGTTATAATAATGGACTGAAGCAGCAAGAACTCTTTACTTAGCCATCTATAATCTTTATTTCATTTGGTGCCTTAGGCCACTCTGCTCCAGAATCAAGGGCCGTTTTCCAATACTCAACTTCGGCTCCGTCTCGGGTTTCAACTGTTTTTTTACTAGCTGACTTTGAAGCTGTAAGCGCAGTAATCAGTCTAATAGTGCCACAGAACATCAAATAAGATTTAAAAAAAGCCCAAAATTACAGTAATTCAATGTAATTTAAGTGCTTCAGGCCCACAGTCGTGGATTGGTTTTGGGAACGAAGCCTGAGACGAAGACGAAGTTGAGTATTGGAAAACGGCCCCAGTTGAGAAAACCCCACTGAACAAAAATGTTTTTATTGTATAGCGCCCCCAGGTGACGTAATGTGCCTTCCACGTGTCCTGAGCATGCGCACAGTCCATTCACAAAGTACATGAAGTAATGGCCACCTTCGTTCACTGACCTGCTGTCTGCATAAAAGAAACAAAAATTCACAGAAACATGTTCAAAAACCTGAAGAAAAAAATTGCAGAGGATGCAGCCAAGTCGCCTTTGAAGCCCAACCAACCCAACAAAGATGGAGAGCAGGTATGTTGTCTCATAATTGGAGATTTTGATGACTTGCACGAACGTAGAGTAGGACTAGGCCTGAGTGCAATGTGGTTAAGGTTTCACACAACCGTGCCACGTTTGGTACGTACATGTACGTACGTTAGCATTCTCACGCCCACCTGCCGGGTCACCATCATCATGCTCTCTATTTAGCGTCAAAAAAGCGGCAACAACTTATTCAAGCACATTTATGAAATATTTTTTAATTCACAATATTAGTCATGTTAATTGGGCACTTACATATCTTACTCTACTTTCTATCTTAGCCAATGTTAGCTGAAACTTGAAATTTTAAAGTGAACTGAAGTGATACGATTAGGCCTAGGCCCGTTTTCAGAGTTGAAATTTGAGTGACAAAAGTCAGGCCTGCTTGTGCAGCCTAACCGGCCACCATCTTGTTTTCGCTTGGACGGCAGAGACAAGGAAGATGGCGGCCTCCATAGAGCACAAACAATTTTCATTTTTCTGTGAGGATCTGGAAGCCTATTGACATGTTTGATGTTTCCTGTACACAGTAGCAGGTCTTGGAGTCTCTAAAATATGATTAAAACCACTTTTAAATCTTTAGAGGGTAATTTCAAGTTGTTGATGATTTGTTGACGCTGCTTGGTACTTCTTGTGTGTGTTATAGCATGACCGCACCTTGCCTATTCTTTTTAGAGGACTTGCCGTCAGATAGCAACATGCTGACGACATAAATTTTGGCATGGCTAGGCAGGCTGGAGGAATTCTAATATGATACCACTTCACCATACATAAATATGCTAAGCAGGCCTTTTCTTTTCGTGTTTGCTTTGGAAAGAAATTTAGCACTATCAAGCAGTGTTTTATTCAAGTTGATCACATCCGAGTCTGATCAGTCCATTAACCCTAACCGCCAAGCATATTGTTTGACTTACACTACACAGTACTACAAAATACTAAGTAATAGCCTGAGCCTGAAGGACCTAGCGCTACAGATTACTACTTCTGGCTAGGTTACTTCTATTGTTACTCGTACAGAGAACAATAAAGCCATGCATTCATAGTGCATGTATGGTACATTGTCTTTTCTATTGTATTTTATGGCTTCAGAGAACAATACGGTCATGTCCTCTTACAAGCGGAAGCACTGATTACCACAATTTACTACAAGTAGTAAGTTGTCGTATTACGTAGGGTTAGGGTTAATAAGACTATTCTGGTCTGTTCTTGCTTGAATTTCCCTCACTTATCTGCTAATTGGACCCCTGCCCTCATACCACAAACATGACAGGACACATGTTGGTAATTAATAGTTCCCTATACAGACATCACTTTTTCGTTGCAGTGACACACCAGTCATCTGAAAGTGATAACATGTCCTAAAATGTCAAATTTAGCCTGGAAAATATTGAAATGTTTACTCAGAAAAGCAACCTCTCAATGCAACAAGCTGTTTCTTTTGCAGAGGAAGGTTGTCCTAATAATAACAAAAACAGGTTATCTAACTCACATTTCTCACATTCTCATGCAATTAGAGGTGCATCTTGAGGCAACTATTATGCTAACCCCTTGACGGGAATTTCTTTCCGAAAGCCCACTCCAAGAATTCCAGCCTCGCTTGGCCACGAAGGCCACCTGCCAAACCACAAATTCTCCATTTGTGGCCCTGCGTGCCCTGCATGCTTTGAATTACACAGTGAAAAGGCTGATTGTTCTGTGGCATGTGGCTCAAGCTTCCACATTCCCATGGCAACATAAAATGCATTTGTTTTCACCTCGCACTGACCCGAGGTCACACCAAGTCACCTCCGCGAATTCCCGTAGAATAGAAAATAGATTAACTGATCTGTTGGTGTTTGCAGGGAGGTGCCGGCAAACAGCCCGCTGGTGCTGCCTCACCGGGAAATGCCACTGCCGACAGAACCCCACCAAGAGACTCGCTCAACTCACGCAGGCCACAGGTAAATGAACAGCTTCGTTGTCGACATTCCTCCTATTCCAGGCCAAATATAGTACAGCCAGGGCCCCGCCCCAACAAAGTCTGCTGTTGCAAAATTGGAGCGTGTGGACATTGAAGGGCTGATTGTTAAACTTTGCAATAAACGTGTCTAATTTGTTTCAGTGAGTGAAAACGGATACACAGGATTTATAACTATGCATGTCCATTTTTACAACCAGCATAGTCAATACCAGTTATAGTCTATTATGTTTTTTCAACAGGTAACCCCAGTCAAATCCAAACCAGAGCCCAAAGCAGAGCCAAAGTCGGAACCCAAGTCACAACCCAAGCCAGAAGCCCAACCGAAAGATGCTGCAGACGATGGCCGGCAGGCAGAGAATGGTGAGGGTCGGGGTCCCTCCCCTGAGGACAGCCCCAGCGTATCCATGTCGTCAGCACCGGAGGCTGAGCAGGCCGCCGCTATGCAGAGGCAACAAGACCAAGGTGCTGACGTAACAAAGGTGGGTGTAAGTTTTAGGAGAGCACAGGTGACTTGGTATGTCACAATCTACCACACTTGGGCAAGAAGTCAATTCTGAGTAAATAGAGACCCAGATTTTGCAATCACTGCTTTGGTTTTTGAAATGATATATTCCTAAGTTATGTTAATTTGTGAAATGGGACATTTCAAAATGCCTAAAATATGAAATAGGTCTTTAAAGTCCAAGTTTAGTCCCGAAAAAAACTTCTTTGAAAGGATTTCCGTAGGAAACTTCAACAAACATTCTAAATATGAACAGCATACATTTCCAAAATTCTGAAAAGTCTGTTGAAATTCCTCCCATGTAACTTTAGCTCTTGATATTCCATGAAATTGTTTCCATCAGGTAGATTGAACTGACCTCTTGGCTTTTGGTATGTTTGCTCAGTTAGGCATCCTTATAACTTGGGAATCGTGAAAAGTGTAGGACGTCCTATCTGTCTAAGTTGAGGTGCACCTTCACTGGTAATGAAGAGACAGGCTGGTTGGCAGTTTGTCAACCAGGCTCACGGACGCGCGCGATGCGCACGCAACGACCTTAGATTCGAACATAAAGTTGTCGCATTTACTTGGGGTTTCCCACACGAAACGTGCATAAGCTTCTGCACGCATGTGATGAGTTCCCACTGCTGTATGTATAAAGCCCTCTTTGAAGTGGACAGATATGAACTGGGCATGATTCTCTCCAAGATCTTTCACTAAGACGTGGCTCTGGTGACTTGCTACTCATTTTGTAGATGAGATAACAATATGTTCATCAATAGGAAAAATAAACTGGCAATATCACACATGCATGCTTAGGAGAACACGACCCCCCTCCTGAGCACACCCACAAAGGTAGCCTCCCCGAAGTCCTCCGGCCAGCCAGTTGCACCTGTCCCCGAGAGCCCCCTCTTCCCCCAGTACCAGACCCCTGTCAAGAGCTTCCAGGCCCCCTCGGACACGGAAAGCGAGATGGACGAGCCAGTGGTCAGCCTGGACGCCTTCAGCAAGGAAGAGCTGTTCCAGAAGTTCCGCAAGATGGAGCGCAGCCTGGCCAAGTACAAGGGGAAGTTTTCGGAGGTCAGTCGTCCGGGGCCTGCTTTTTGACCGTTACCTTTGCCGATAGTGGAGAATTTAGTTTCAGAAATGTCTTACCCTACCAATGTTTTTTCCCGCAACTTTAAGTTGTATTTCTTTGCTTATTAGTGCACTGAAGGAAACTACCCTCACAATTGACCCAAAAAGCTTTCATGAAAAATAACCTTATATAGTATGAAATCTTTTAGATTTTTATCTTTATAACTTGCCTGAAGTGAAAAATGTTACTTAATTAAGGACTTTGGTGACAATAAATGCATTCTTCTTTACTTTCAGCTTGTCAGAGCATACAAAGATTTACAGAAAGATAATGACAAAATCAAGGTATGCTTCTTATAATGCTTCGTTTTTCTATTGTACATTGGTAGGCTTTTTTTGTGGCATTGTTTCATCAGCAATTGTTACTTTGATAAATGTGACTCCTACATGAATACCTGCGAAAATGTATGCAGAATATTCCCGACTCCACCTGAGATTGGATCACTGGATAGCCTGCCGTAATTTCAGAAAACTAGAATAGGATTGGAGTTACTCCTGGAGAAAAATGGAGCTGGTTGTTTCTGTGATTTTACATAATTGCCGTAATCATACCCCATGAAACATCCTACAATGTATAACAAGCATAATTACGTGAAATAGGAAGTGACTGATTGGAAAACAGTGACATGGCACTTGCTTCATTCTGGAGGAGAATACTTTTTGATCGGCACCTCATTTGCACAGGATCAGGTCCTTTTGTCGTCGAGAGTTGTGAAAGTGGAGTCCAAGTTTTAAATATTCAAGCTTTTATTGTTCATTTCAATTCACTTTCAAATAATTCCAAGTCACATATTTCTTTATATATTACATTTACAACCGTTGCTGACATACAATTCACACCCATCTCTGTGTCACTGGAACATTACTCATGTATGTTGCCATCAGACACTGAGCAGCTCTTTTCATTCTACTTCACCATCCATTTCATTTTCCCCAGACCATCATGACTCAAAGTCAGGACAAAGCTCTTCGCCGGATCTCAGAACTCAAGGAGGTAAAACAGCTTGCATCCTCCCATTAAAAAAATTGTTTAGAATTTTTCTTCCGAACTTGAGCAATGTGAGGTAAAAAGCTAGGGCTGTGACGTCCAGAGTTATTGTTTGCTGTATAAAACGATTTGGTCTCCCCTCCCCCAGGCTGCAGACCTGGATCGGCAAGCTAAGGCGCACCTTGAAGAGGCCTTCAGGATGCAACTGGACGAGAAGGATGAGATCATTGGGGTTCTTCAAACTCAGGTACAGACTGATCCGAGTAGAAACCGCCACTGCAGCGGCATTACGCTCACACGCTCATTCTTAGAACTTTAGGCGCACATGCCTGTTCATCAAATGGCTAGACACTAGGCTAAAGAGGCATGTATCCCTCCTCTTGCTGCAACAGTCACAGTCAGTCAAGAATTTCTTCCACTTCTCCCTCTACAGTACTCATGTCACTCTCATGTCACTCGACTGATTTTGACTGATAGGACGATTTGGTGCAGATTGCATCTTTATCTAGGAGGGTTTACGTGCAATAGGGCTGAGTCAATTCGAATAATTCACTATCAGCCTGGAGTATTGCCATATTTGGACAGTCTATTACGTTACAATCTGGCGCAATCAGACCAATCACAAGGCTCGTTCTAGCAGCGTGCAACGGATTGCATGGGTGTTACCATGTTGCAGCATAAGGAGCAAAAATTTGATTTGCTGATTTGATTGGTACCAATGGGATTTAAAATTCATTGTTGCCAACTTGAGATATTCAAAATTGAATTTCAACAAAAATTATGCTATCAGTATAGGAAAGGTCACTATGCCCATATTTGGTAACGCTCTGGACTGACTATTTGAATATTCGACCTTCCGTTTGATTGAATATCCGAATATTTGGTCGTACCGACCGGCAGATTGTTGATAAACACCAAAATACAAAATTAGTTGCAATACCACACACATTTGTACATTATGATCAATACAATAGCTTCTCACATCTAGGAGTATCTCCAGCAACAATTTAGCTAGATTTAAGAGATGAACCAGACTTACAGCCCTGTCGAAAATTTCTAATCCTTTTAAATTGTTGAATGACTAATTTACTTTTAAAATCGTTGTAAGATTTCTGACGCTTTTAATTTGAATCTGCTTGAAACAAGCCTCCATAGTGCAGTATTTCTCATTTAAAACAAAAGAAAGTTTTCCCTTACTTTTCATGCATTTTGCATTCGAATATTCAAATTTGAAAAATAATTTTCGAGTATTCGACAATCGATCTAATATTCGGTTATTCGGATATTGGGCACAGCCCTAACGTACACTCTGAGCCTGATGCCACTGTAGTAATGGCTTCAAGTCCTGTTTGCTGAAATAATGTTCCGATGTTTGCAGTGAAATGTTGTGAGATCTTGACCTTTCTGTTGACCTTTCACCGCGCAGGTTGGCCTTCTGAAGAAAGGCATCGTACCCGATGAGCCCAAACCGAGTGAAGAATCTACAGATGGATCCGGAGAGTCCTCATCATCTGAGACAGTCAGTGCGCTCAAAGAAAAGGTTTGAAAGGCCCCTTAATCTCTTGGCATCTGTGGAACTGAGCTTGTCTGAGTGTTTTTTTTTTAAGTGTTGTCAATTATTCAAGAATGCTATGTCAATCTGAAACAGATTTATTAAAGTATTTCTCTTGAGAGAGGTTCATTTTGTTGGACGTTTTATTGATAGTTCAGCTTCGTCAAAGGTATTACAGGTTGGGAGTCATTTAAGTCATAGCCATCACAGAATCACTTTTAATACCTCAGCACTTGTAGAATATCTGTAAAACCAACTTTGACCCCTGACCTTTCCCCTACCCAGGTGAAGAGGCTTGAGGGTCTACTTAACAAGTGCAAGGATACAATCCGTAACAATAAGGAGAAGTCTGCTGCTCTGATGGCGGAGAAAGACGCCATGAAGAAACAGCTGGAGGGGAATGCTAAGGAGTTGGAGCAGCTCAAGGTGGGTAACTCCTTTCCTGACCCCTCAGAAACTCTTGTTTTGGACCTTCCTGAATCCTTCAAAATCCTCCACCCCTCAGAAAACTGACAGCACATTAATTGCACTGGAAGTTGGACTATACTTCATTCAGTCCTGGAAAACCCTTCAAAAAGACCAGGGGGGATTTTGTTACGACCTGTCCAAGTTTTATAAGGTAATATTAAAGTTGGCATAGGAGGCCCAGTGTAGTGAGCATGGCCTTCGAATCCATCAAAATACTTTGAGACCGTGTGAGAATGCTCCTGTTTTCTTATTTGAGGAAATGCCCTCGCATTATATTTGACATAACTTCTATTAAAGTAAGCTTTGGTATTGTGACTAAAGTTTTCTTTTGGGTACAGCTGGACCCAATTTCATGGAGCTGTTATGCACAGAAAAACATTCGCTTAGCAAAGAAGGTTACCAGCCAAATATTCATGCAAAGTGCATTACTTGTGACTGGTTCACAGCTGATTTCTGCTCTACATGTAAGTTTTCTCAACAAGGAAATTTGCTACTGGACTGAAGAAGGACTTCATTATGCTTTCACGGACTCTCCTTTGGAAGCCTGTTAACAACTCTACACGGCAGAAAATATCTCTAATTCTCATTTATTCAGGAGCGGCAGTCTGCAGAGCAAGTCAAGTTCTCAGAGCAGCTGAGTCATGCCAAGAATCTCCTGGATCAGGCCAGTGAGGAGAAGGCCCTGGCCATCGCCGAGACCAAACAACAGATGCACGGAGAGCTGGAGAGGAGCCAGCAGGAAGGGGCGGAGAACAGGGAGAAGGCTAGGGAGGCGGGGCAAGAGAGGGACGATCTGAGGCAGAAGCTCAGCGAGGCAGAGAAAACAGGTAGCGTCTTTGGTTGTTGGTAAAAAAAAGCCGCATTATTTCAGGACAAACTTCTTTCACTATCCTGCCTACAGAGGCAGTTCATAATTAAGGTATGCCCCAGAATATTGGTTGTTTTGGTGTCAAATAGTTTTCCAGGGTCATGTTCATGTATTGCTTCTAATTCTCTTTTCCTACCTGGAAGCAATTTAAATTCCTATCTGATGTGATCATGCATGTGCAGTATTTGGAGAAACTGCTAGAATTTCCTTGACTTTCCAGTGAGAAGTTGGCACCCTTGATTGTAGAGGGCTGTGATTTTTGCATTGGACCATTCTCTGCGATATATAAATATATAGTTCTAAGATGCTCCAAGAACCTTAGAACTATTATCAAGTGTTTCATTTGACTGACAAAGGCAAGACCAGTGACCATCATGTAAGCCCCCTAATGTACACTGAACATAAGATGTCTCAATCTTCAAAACTCAATTTTTCCATCAGGCATGACTCCCTCCCCATCTCCATCCCCTTCCCCGATTGGACAGGAACACTTTTTCCCCTCCGAATCTGGGCAATCACCAGTCTCGCACAAGGCCAGACACCTGCAACAAATCAGAGAGGCTAGGAGGACAGGTTAGGACCCTCTAGCTTGCTCAACTTTTTTGCAAGGTGGTCCTGTCTCTGTCATTGTCACTCTCTCTGTGCACTATGGCTGTCATATTCTCCATTTTAAGAGAAAACCAAAAACCAGTGGGCTTGGGGAACTTTCCTTCTATACAATCAAGATATATCACCCCAAACTTACATGTACGTAAGTGCTGACTGAAGTCATCTGTTTATACTGGCCTGACTAAACTTGACACTAGATATGGGTCATTTGGTTTGAAAGTTGTTTACATAATTTTTTTTCTTGTTTTTTTTCAAAAAAACCTGTTTTTGTTTATTGTTGAAATTTCAGATCTGTAGCATTTTCTGACATGCATGATGCAGAAAACAAAGATGAAAAGTTGTAACGTTCCCCTTCTCAACATTATTAAAGCCTAACACTCCTCAGTCCTCCAACAGGTGAAGGATTGAGGAGTGTTAGGGTTAAAGCCTACTTGCCTGCACCTGCAGACAAAAATCCCAAAATACTTGTTTACCGTCTGATTGAAATTTCCAGTCTGCAATTGAAAAATGTAAATCTGTAGCATTTTCTGGCATGCATGATGCACAAGGCAAAGATGAATAGATTTTCATGCTCTCTTTTTCAACATTGAGCTTACCTGCATGCACCAACGGAATAAAGTTCCATCGTATCCATACCATGCTGCTTACTGAACATCTTTCTTGACATGCTTTCATCCAGACCAAAAAACCCCAGTAAATATAAAGACACCATCGACAAGTGTCATTTGGAAACAAAGTTTCTACTGCATTTTGTTTTCATATAGTTTTGCTTCAAGGTAGTTCCTGTTACCCTGTTGGCTAATTCCAAAAATTAAGTGTCCATTTGACATATGATTTTGTAAGTTCAGAACACATTTTTTAATTCCAACAGTGATGAATTAATGCAAATTACCTGCCAAACAAATATTAATAGTTTGAAATCAATTCTGGTGATATTTCTGTGTCAAACAACAAAGGTCAGAGATAACGGGGACACAACAGGGACGAAAAGGTCACACTTTTGGACCCTTAATTTTTGGAATCACCCTGTTATGACCAACATTCAAACAGGTTTAATATATGTGTTTTCTCCAGTCAGGAATGCATGCAGTTAATTTCCGGTGTTCCTGCTGACGGGTCAAAGGTTATTTGGATTTTCTCTTTGCTTTGGTGAAAAACAGGGGTAAAAGTGTATTTTTTTGCAAAATGGTATGAAGTTCTGTGTATTTGAACAGGTGTCTGGTTCTGGTTGAGGAAGCAGAATGAATTATTAGACAAACGTCGTCTCTGAGACTCAAGCTCTGCTGTGTGGCTTCTCCAAATAAGCAACAAAAGTTTGGACATCCCTACTCGCTGATCCGTCTTTGTCACTTGCCCCCATAAATGGTTACAAGATGTATTTCGTTTGGTATCGTTGACAGTTCTTGAATTGCGCCAGCAGCTGGAAGCCACCGAGAAACGAGGAGAGGAGGAGAGGCAGAGCCTAGCCCAGGAGCTGTCCAGAGGGAAACAGGCCGTTATCTCGCTAGTGCAGGTACAGTCCTTCAGCCTTTTTGTTCGTGGGATGTTTTCACTCAATGCTTCTTTGGCCTTGGCTATACGCCGTGCTATTGCTGTGCCGAACTCAAATAGTTCAATTTTTAAATGTTCAGCACTGCAGTAGCACAGTTTGTCACAGGCAAATTGAATTCGGCACGGCAAGCCCTTTAGCTTGAAAAGGTGTACCGTGCTGTCATCATTCCAAATGGCAGTGGTATGACACTGCTAACTTCGGCAGTCAGCGCAGTTGCCTAGCTATTGACATGTTACTGCCACAATAGGCAGGGCAGTAGCACAGAATTTATCTTTTCTTGAGCACTTGATAACCAGTACCGCTGCTCAATTTAACTTCGGCATTTAGCGCAATTGCCACGCCATTGACGTGCTACTGCTGCACTCATAAAGTTAGGCACGGCAGTAGCACAGAATCTAGACCTGGCCTTAGAATCCATCAGTGGCAAAAATATGCATATATCTCTTCTTGATCACTTGATAGCCATTCGTGGCTGACCCACACTATGCAGTTTTCCCGCAGGAGGGTGTAAGTTATTTGCTCATTCAGTTGCCATGGGCACATGTGGACGAGCTCATAGATGCAGTATGGCTATATTTTCACAGCACCAAAAAAATGGGGGAAAAAACTTACAATATGCATTTTTTGTACAGAAGCAAGAATTTCATTTTTTTTTTCTTTTAGGAGGAGAAGGAGACGATGAGAAAAGAACTGGAGAAGATGAAGGAGGATGCTGTAGTCGAGAGGAACAGCCACTGGGAGGGCATCCTGAGGCAGAAACAGCAAGAGCACGAGGATGCCATGGCAACCAAAGTAAAAACAAGAAATTGATTTTTTACAATTTTTCCATTTTTTGCTGTTGCTATGCTTCATTGGATGCATAAAATTCAGTTTATATGTCAAACATGCGAAAAAGAACTTGCCGGTGGTAACACTTATCTTTCTTCTTGTTCAAGAATTTATTGCTGCCTTGAAGAGAATGAGGTATAAAGATATTTGCAAATTGTGCCACCAACTCTAACAAGTGTGGAACTTGGGGCGTTTTGGTAATCGGTACGTTTGTGTGTGCAAAACGGGGTATGAGATGCTTCAGTTGTAGTCACTGTTTGTTTCACACAGTTTATTTTTGGAGAATGTACCAAAACTTTATTGCGTTTCACTTGACATTTTCAACCTGCTCTTTTCAACTGAAGGAGAAGGAATTCCAGATGAACATGCAGTTGAGGGAAGATGAGCAGAAGAGGATCCTCAAGGAGAAACAGACGGAGATGATGATGGCCATTGAGGAGAGAGAGTTGCAAAAGATGGCAGCCGTCAGTGCTCAAGACAGCCAGAAGGATGAGCTGCAACGTACCATCGATGCCATGACAACGGTAAAGCAACTGTTTCATCTCTGTCCTTGGGCAGCTGTCACTATTAAGGAACAATTTTTTATGCATGTTTAATAACCATGGTTGGGTACCTTGGTAAGGCTAGTGTAGCCTCAAACAAGCAGTGTCATTTTCTGAATATTGTTGTCACATTTCTATGACAATTTTGATTGGTATTTTACCCACACATCTTTGTCTTTCACAGGAAAAGCTTGAGATGGAAGCCAGCATACAACAGTTGAAAGACATGCTCGAAACTGAGAAAGTGGCAGCTCGTAATAAGATTGAAGAAATAGTTAAGCGCAGCCGTACAGCCATTTCTAACAATAAAGAGAAACATGAGAAGGCCATTGAAGAGCTCACAGCAGTACATCAGGAGGAGCTTACGACAAGGTTAGAAGAGCTGAGGCAAGAGCAGAGGTCATATGTTGATGGCATGAAGAGGCGGCATGACGAGGACTTTGAGACAATCAATAGGGATGCCGATGCCCGCTACAGTGCCAAGGTTGATGAATTGAATCAGAATCATCAGAAGATTGTCCAGGAGAAAATTGACCAATTGCAGAAACTGGCAGCCAAGGCCTCTGAGATGAAGCAGCGAATCCAAGACCTGAATGGAGAAACACAGAAGAAGAAAGAAATGATAGAATCGTTGGAGGAGAAGATCAGGATGGGAGAATTAGCAAGGACAGAGGATGCTGGAGAACAAGCCAAAAGACTTGAAGAATATAGTGTGCAGATGGCAGACTTGAAGCAAGTCAATGCTGAACTTCAGGACCGCTTCGATCAGAAAGTTAAGGAGGCTGAAGCTCGGAGTGCTGGACTGGAAGAGCAGATGAAGGGAGCAGCTGAAAATCATCTTAAAGACCTCAAAGATAAAGAGAATGAAATCCAGAAGTCTCTCTCTGAAATTGAAGATCTGAAGCATAAGAATGAGGCTTTGAACAGAGATGTGGAAGCTAAGATTAAAGACCATGAGAATAAGACAGCAGAGTTTGAACGGAAGATGCAGTTCCAGCAAGAGAATCATGAAAAGGAGTTGGCACGAAGGTTGGAAACCTTGGAAATCCAGAAACAGAGCTCAGCTGATGAGTTCGCCAACCAGCTGAGTAACAAGCTGTCAGAGGCAAATAGTACTGTTGCTGAGCAAGAGAAAACAATCCAGGACCTGCAGCTTAGAGAGAAAGACTTACAGAACTCTTTGGAGGCTCTGAAACTCAAACTTGATGGTGATCTTGCTGCTGTTAACGAGAGCTTACAATTGGAAAGGCAGAAGCATACCGAACAGTTGGGCAGAATAAATGCAGCCTTACAAGAAGTGAACTCACACAATGAAAAGTACTCTGAGGAAATCCAGGCTCTAAGGAAAACTCTTCAGGAAAAAGAAGCCTTCTCCTGTGGTCTGCAAGATCAACTGTCTTCCAGTCAAGCGGAAAAGACAAGACTAGAGAATGATCACAGTGAGACTACTCGGCAACTGCAAGCAGAGCTTGATTCTAAGGCATCCAGAGTGGCTGAACTTGAAAATCAGGTTTCAGAAATACAGGAAAATGTAGAAACAAGGCAGCATGAGCACGAGGAGGCAAATAACAAACTGGAATCTCTCCTAAATGAAAGATTATCACAACTCAAAAGTAAGGACGACGAAGTAGAGAAACTATTGGCTGACTTAGAAGCGATTAGAAGGACCAGTGAGGAAACTATTTCAAATTTAGAAAGACTCTGTAATGAAAAGGAAAGCCTATGTGAGTCGCTTAAACTGCAGCTCACTGAAAATGATTCTAGACATAAAGAAGCAGTGGCTCAGCTTGAATCGAGTTTTGAAGACAGACTACAGGAAGAAAGACTCAACCATGAGAAGGATTTAGAGAGGAGACTAGAGTCAGTTGAGATTCAGAAACAGAGTTCAGTTGATGAGGTAACAGGAAAGCTAGGGCAGCAACTCACAGAAGCTTTTGATGAGATAAGTAAGAGGGAGACATTCATCCAGGATCTTAAGTCCAGCTCAAATTCTCTCGAGAAAAGTCTCGATGAGCTCAAAAGTGACCATGAAGCCATTGTGGTCAAGTTGCAGGCAAAGGAAGCTGAATTGGCAAACTTCCAAGCAGAGAACGACAGCCAAGTTAAAGAATCTAGACACAGGGAAACTGAATTGTCCACAGTCCTAGATAACTTGAGAAAGGACTTTGATGAGAAGACTGAGGAGCTGGAAAGAGTGAAGTCGGATTTACAAGCAGAAATAGCACAGCTTCAGGATTCTCACTCCAAAGAACTTTCCCAGTTCTCTGATGAAAGGAACGCCCTGAGAACTGAGCTTGATACCTTGAACTCTCGGTTTGAAACCAAAGAGGTGGAGCTCCAGCAGTTACAGAAGTCACATGAAAACCTGTGGGAAGAGGAGAAAAAACTTCAAGAGAAGTTGGCTTACATGGCTACACTTGAAAGTGAGATGCAACAGAAGTCTGGGCAGTCTGAGACTCTCAGCGCTAGGCTGGAGGAACAGGAGAGACAGCTTGAGAGTCTCAGACAAGATGCTGAAGAAAAGTCCGCTCAGCTCTCAGAAAAAGATAACCATGTAAGGGAGTTGAGGGAATTAGAGTCAGTCTTGTCATCAGAGGTGAAGGCTCTCCAAGAAGAGCTGACACAGATAAAATCTGAAGCTTCAGAGAGAGCAGAACTTGCATCCAAGCTGGAACAGAAGCTGAGACAGTTACAAGATAGCGAAGCGTCTCTCAAAGCAGAGATTGAAAACAAAACTCAAGCCCATGAAGCCCTCACCCTCCAGCTTCAAAACAAGAATTCTGAGCTGCAGGATCTTGTGAAGGAACACAGTGACAAATTCGAGAAGCTAACAGAGACGCACAAGACCCAGATGTCTGAGTTGAAAAATCAGGCAAAATCAAAGATAACCACCGTCAAAAAGCACTATGAGGATCTACAAGAGAAGAACAAAGAAAAGTTGGCGGAGTTCAAAGCAGCACAAGAAGAGAAAAGCAGACACATGCAAGAGGAGTTTGAAGAAAGTAAAAGGGCACTGAGAGAGAAGGTAGAGTCAGACAGATCAGAGCTTAGCAACCAGCATGCAGACAAAGTTTCCCTCCTAGAATCCAAGATTTTATCGCTTCAAGAAACCATACATGAGCTCCAGGAAGAGAATGAGGGAAAGATGTCAACTGTTGCAAAGAATCACCAGGACGAAGTGGAGAGACTATGCAAGCAAGCTGAAGAGAGACTAAGTCAGAAGGAGACAGATTTCCAGAATCAGCTGTCAGAAATTATCAAAGAGAAGGAAGTGGGTGCCGAAGATGTTATGTCAAAGCTTCATGATACACACCAGGAACAGATCGAGCGTCTCACACAAGAGCATCAAGAAGCACTGAAGAGGGAGCAGGAAACTCACAAAAAGCAGATGATTGATTTCCGTGATCAAGCCAAGGCCAAAATTGCTTCTCTCAAATCTCAAATAGAGCAGTTAAAGAAGGAACAGGAAGAAATAAACGAGGAACAACAAAAGAAAGTTACAGAGTCTCTTCAACGTTCTTCAAGTGATCACTCCGCCGAGATCCAAAATCTGAAGAAAATCCATGCAGAGGAACTTGAAAACACGGCCAAAAAATACACAGATAGGTTGGAAGAGTTGGATCAAGAGTCCAGGAGAAAAGATGATGAATTTAAACAAGAGTTGGATGACACTGTCTTAAGATTAGAGCAGGAAAAAGCTGCCGAGACTGAAAAGTTGAGGGAGAACATTTACTCTTTGCAGAAGGAACACCAAGAGAGCCTTGCTCTGGAGGAGAAGAAGACTACAGAGATTATCGAAAAACTAGAAAAGTGCCACAAGGAGGAGTTGGAAATGAACAACAAGGACTTGAAGAGGAACATGGAGCAGCTGGAACAGCAGCACTTTGAGATGGTAGAGGCTATGCAGAAACAGTTCGAGGGGTCAACACGGCAAGAGGGATCCAGGTACAAGCAGCAGATCCAACAGATGGAGATTGAACATCAGCAAAAGATCGACGAGTTGATCGACACCGACTTGGAGATGCAGGTCAAGCTGAAGGCGGCAGAGGAACAGATTGCCCTTATGGAAAAACAAACGCAGGACTTGCTGGTACTTCACAAGGAGAAGTCAACAGCTCTTGAAACCGAAGTCGGTTCCCTGATGGCCAACTATGATTCTGAGAGACAGAAGCTGGTTGATGAACTTGAGGACACCAAGACACAGTTGAAGGAAGAGCGGGAGAAACTGTCAGCACAGAGTGATAGCAAAAACAGGGACCTTGAGCGAATTAATGAATTGATTCAACTCTGCGACCGGAAGGACAACAGGATCAGTGAATTTGAAGAGGAGTTCAAACAGCGAGGGGAGAAGGTTGAAGAGCTGGAACAGTTAAGGTCCACTGCTGAAAGTGCCCAAAGCAAGGCAGCGGAGAGAATATCAGATTTAGAGCAGTTATGCTCAAACAAAGATAATCGGATTGCAGAGTTGATCGAGGAATTGAAGAAGGAAACGGCTAAGGTTGTGGAGGAGCAAGAGGCAAGATTGTCAATGGAAAATGACTCAAAGGAAAAGGAATCTGAGAGGATTAAAGAGCTAAAAGAAGTCTGTAATGCCAAAGACAACCAAATCAGCGAGATGGAAGAAACTCTGAAGCAAGAAGTTGAGAAGGCAAAGGAGGAAACCAAGCAGAGAGTAGCAGATTTGAAAAAGAAAGCAGAAGGAAGACTGGGAGAGATAAAGAAACAGTATCATGATGATTTGGCAACCAGAAAGAAGCAATTTGATGCAATTGAAGAACGATGCAGAGCTCTAACCAACGAGCTGGCCGCCGCTAAGTCCTCCCACCTGGAAGAGATCTCAGCTCTGGAGGAGCAGATCAACACCTTAAGAGCAGCCCATGAACTTGAGGTGTTGACACTCAATCAAGAGTTAACACAGGAACGCGAGAAGATCCAGGTTGCAAGCACCCAACCGGTCGAGGAAACCATCATGGTTGCCAGGGAGGGGATGCTTGGGGCTGCTCCTCCTTCAGGAGATGGAGAAAAGATTGATGAGGTGGCAAGGAGGAGGGCAGAAGAACTGGAAGAGAAACTGATAAGAACCAAGGAGCATTGGGAGAAAGAAATTAACCTACTTAAGTGAGTATTTAGACTCGAGCATCAAATGTTATTTTAGGTTTACACAGGTTCCAATCAAGTTTAAATTGTAGTTAGCTGAAAAATACCAAAGTTAGGAATGAAGCTACATTCAGGCATTGGTACAAGAAACAGAGAAACTCTTTTCAAGGGGCCTGTGGTTCTCTTTGCCTAAAAGTTGTACCTCTCTTTGCTTTCGTACAAAATTTTATGGGCCATTACTCTGGATGTTAGTCAAAGTTTTCAAAGTTATTACTAAAGATAGTTATCAACTTTAAAAAGACAAACCAGCACTGTTTTGTCATTGAAAGTAAGATATTGCAATCTTTGCTAACCGTACTCCTTCAGGCAAGAACACAAGATTGAAGTGGACAAGCGAAGTAAAGAAAATGAGAAGAGATTTGAGAGCCTCCAAAGGGAGTATGAGAAAAAGCTGGAGGAGCAGGAGGCGGAGCATCACTCCAAGATTAAGCACATGGTGAGGGAGATGACGACCAAGATGGCAACTAAGGAACAAGAGACGGAGAAGGCCCTCCAAGAGGCCATCTGTGAGCACACTTGTTTTGTCATTCACCTGTCCATGTTGCGAGCCTTTTTTTAGAATTGTATTAACACACGTGTTTTCGGTTGTGTGCCAAGTTGGACATCAAAACTCCAGTGTAGAGTTTGACTACGTGGGAGACGATAAACAGCTTGGCCACCAATATAAACTTTTTCAATGAGGCATTCCTTCTGATGAAATTTTGAATTTTTTTTTCAATGACCCAGTAGCCTCAGATTTTGAATACTGCAAGAAAAGATTCGGACTGTAATATACACACACCTGGGATCTAAATTGATTTCACAAGACCCACAAGAATAAATTCTTTTGCTTCCAACCGAAAGCAACAATTTACCATCTTGTATATTGGTTTCCGCCATGATTAGATAAAGGTCAGAACATAGAACAGCGTATTGAGAAGGAACACCGAGACATGGTCAGGGAACTGCAGCGAGAGAACGACGAGCAGGCAAGAGAACTGGAAAACATCAACGACAGGCACAAGGAAGAAATCGCTGTAAGTCCTTTGAAAGCACTTGCATTGTCGGCAGGGCCTGTTGAAAACCTGGAAATCCTGAAAAAGATCAGGATTTCATGGGCATTGGTCAGGAATATCCCCTTAAAATGAATCATACAAACGATGCATCTACAATTCATTATCTGTGTCAAACTACATCTTTACCAGCAAATGGTAATCCTAGAAACTGTCGTAGTGAAAGGATTTTGAATTCTGTGATTATAAAAGTTAAAGGGGCCAAAGAATCTTGGTTATTACTATAAGATATTGGGCATTTTCTCAATACTCTCCTTGGACCCAGATTAGCTCCGCATCACACAACACTTGGCTCGTGAACAGGAGTTGTTATTGTTGCTTAGCCAGTTCACTATTCAGTATTCATTTGCTTTGCCATTTTCAGGCCGCTTTTTATTTTGTTTTGCAAGAGAGATTTACGCTACGCTTTGCCCGTACACAGACCTTTATATTCGTACTGTATTCTTGGCTTGGTTTGAGAGTTACATAAAAATCACAAGTTTTCTTGCGTGGGATGTTAATCCTGACTTCCCGCGTACCACTGCAGATAACCACTTGGTCACCTCTTGATTACCGCTCATCCAGTGAATCTACCGGGATTGAGCGGCAGCAGCAGGTGCTTCTTAATGAATCCCTCTATCTATCTCAATTTTTCCTCAGGAGTGTCGGGAAGAGATCAAGCAGGCGAAGCAGACCTATGAGTCGCGCATCGCCCAGCTGAACGTTGACCACAAGGCCCAGCTGAATGAGATGGAGTTCCGGCTGGAACACCAGGAGTCTACCCATCAGAATGAGCTCTCAGACCTGGAGGCTCGACTCAGGAAGGAGTTTGCTGCCCACCAGCAGATGCATAGCATAGGAAAACAGGTCAGTCAGTCCTTCTATCGGTCACTGCCAAATATTCACCCCAGGATCTTACTTTCTCCATCAGGGCTTCGTCAGCATTTAAAATTTTTAGCCATGTCATTAAACATTTTTAGGCATGTCCAAACTTACCTTGAATTGAAAATCAGGCCACTCAAGTTCCGAAATATGTTTTGTGCTTTTACATTAATTTTTGTATCACAAAATATCATGTCCATTACAGCCCCGAGTTGTTCCCCCCCCCAGGTCTGACCCCCAAATTAGTCAGCAGTGAGAATTCATCATTAATCCAGGCCTTGTTTTCTACATGAGGATTCTACAAAGACACTCGTAGACAATTTTTTCAGAACGCTAATCATGTACTTTCCAAAAAAATAAGGGAACATTTGCCTTGATATATTGTCCTATCGCGAAGATTGGTCATTAACTTGATTACGAGTTATGGTCCGTTTGTGCGGTGTGTCAGTTCCTTTTTTTTTCAATAGTTGAACAGATTAATTGGCTCTTAGTTCATAAAGGCTGTGCTTAACAGTGCTATTGAATTGCTTGCTTCTGGTGATGGGGTAGGAAAGTGACACTGTAGAATTTTTGTTAGATAACTTGTTGAAACTTTCTCCGCAGGAAAGCAAAGAGGTGGGCTCAGTTGAGTCTCTAGATCCCCTCTTAGCTAATGCCGAAACCTTAAATCCGCAGGAGCTGGAACAAAACAATATCATACTAAAGGTAGAAAAAGCACCATTATGGTTAGAATCCACCTCCTTTAATAATAGCTAGCGACCACGCTCTTGGGTTGTATGAGACTAGGTTTTCATGGTAGTGTTTCAGGCTAACCCATTTGGCATACTTTAATCACTTATTTATACCAGTTGGAGACAGGTGCTTGAGAATTCCTCAATACATTTAATTGATAGAGGCTTAACTCATACCTGCTAATCGTTCCAATTGAATCGGAACTGTCCTGATTTTTAAGTTCTCAGATTGCAAAAATTCAGAACGTTCTGATTTCCGTACTTCAAAGAAAAAAAAAATGTACCCGCAAAAGAGGGCTCTGTATGCAGAAAAAGAGGGCGCTATTTTGTCATGTCAAAATGGCAGTTGTTGCATCTATAATGTACGTACGTAGTGCACATGTGTGTACCGGTACATGTATATGTAATTTGTGAATAGCTTCACTCACGTGGCTGCTTGTTTTGATACAGGCTCGTAAAAGGGTATTCCAATCTCTGACTTCTCGGTGTTGGCCAGTGTGTCAATTTCTTGGTATTGTCTTTCCACACAAACGTTGAAGACAGCTCTGCAGTTTCATGCCAGTTCCTTTGTAGTGCACCCATTTAGCATTTCTCATCCTCCCCACATGGTGGAGGTAATCCTTGACTTTTGTGGAGGGCTTTATGTTCTGGCGGGATTGCGTAGTTTTCACTTGCTGCTTAACCTGTTAGCTTTGCTTGACCTTTTTCTCTGGAGTTGTTAAACTTTTTCGACTTGAAAACAAACTGTTTTTGATTTTTTTTTTTAGTTTTACATCATGCTTTACATCAGAGCTCACTGCCTGGTGTCGTTCCAGTAACACATTTCAGGGGTAGAGCCAGGATTTTCCAAAAGGGGGTTGCAAACTGAACTAACCGGAAGAACTGCTGTCACATTTATGGGGCTGGTTCCCATCCTCTTGTTTCTCCCCCCCTCCTTTTGCTACTCTTTTTTGTTATTCATTTATTTTTTGGTCGAAAAAGGGGGGGGGGCGTGTGCATGCCTCCCAGGCCCCCGCCCCTGGATCCACCCCTGTATTCATTGTTCATGCCCTTCATCAACACGCAGGCTGAAGTCCAACAGCAGAGGGCCCAGCTGGCCCAACTCCAACTGAGAGAAAAGCAGCTGATGGATGAAAACAGCACCCTCAGGGGATCAGAATCAGGTAGGCCAGGCCAGGTTCAAAAGTTG